TTTGGAGACTTGAGGCAGGAGATTCTGTATGAATCTCATCATTCAGGCTACACTATACATCCAGGCAGTGGTAAGATGTACGCTGATATGAAGCTTTTGTTTTGGTGGCCTGGGATGAAGAAGGATGTGGCAGAGTTTGTGTCGAGATGCGAAGCCTGTCAGTTGGTGAAGGCAGAGCATCAGCGACCAGGTGGACTGTTGCAGTCGTTGCCTATCCCTGAGTGGAAATGGGAGGAGGTAACGATGGATTTTGCGATGGGTTTCCCTCGATCTAGACAAGGGCACGACGCTATTTGGGTGGTTGTAGATCGATTGACGAAGTCAGCCCATTTTCTTCCGATCAGACAGACGGATTCAGTTGATCGCTTGGCACAGATATATGTGAAAGAGATAGTCAGATTGCACGGTGTGCCTCGTGTGATCGTATCTGATCGAGATGGACGTTTTACTTCCAGACTTTGGAAAGGCATTCAGCAAGGCTTGGGTACAAAACTGCATTTTAGTACAGCCTTTCATCCTCAGACCGATGGACAGTCTGAGAGGACTATTCAGGTACTGGAAGATCTGTTAAGACTTTGTGTTCTGGACTTTAGCGGAAGCTGGGAAGATCATATTCCGCTGATTGAGTTTGCCTATAACAACAGTTTTCAGTCCAGTATCGGTATGGCACCGTACGAAGCTTTGTATGGCAGGAAGTGCCGTACTCCTTTGACTCTGACGGAGGTCGGAGATAGGCAGGCTTTGGGAGCCACTTTTGCTGATGAAACTGCTCAGAAGATCAATTTAATAAGAGAAAGATTGAAAGCTGCTCAAGATCGACAGCAGAAGTATTACAATCAGAAGCACAGATTTGTAGAGTTTCAGGTTGGTGACTTTGTGTATGTCAAAGTCAGCCCGATGAAAGGTGTGAGCAGATTTGGTCAGGTGAGCAAGCTTAGTCCGAGGTATGTTGGACCTTTTGAAATCCTGGAAAGGATTGGAAAAGCTGCTTACAAATTGATGCTTTCTGATTCGATGCCTGATGTGCATAATGTGTTTCACGTATCCACTCTGAGGAAGTGGGTATCCGACTCTGGGAAGAAAGTATCTGCTGATGAGGTTGAGATTCAGGAGAATCTGACGTACAAGGAAGAGCCAGAGTTGATTTTGGCATACGACGTACGAAAGCTAAGAAGTAAACAGATTCCAATGGTTAAAGTCCAGTGGAAGCACCGTACTGCACGGGAAGCCACTTGGGAGAAGGAGTCTGACATGAGACGGTTGTACCCATACTTGTTTTGACTGAGTTTGGACTGGATAATGTCGAGGACGACATTTTTTTTAAGTTGGGGAGATTGTAATATCAGTTTCTGCTCCAGGTTCGTCCGGACGAAGTCGGATCGTCCGGGACGATCGGTACAGGTTGTGCAGAGAAAATCATGTTTGGCTGTATGGTTCGTCTGGACGAAATCAGGATCGTCTGGACGAAAATAAGTCAGAGAACCCTTCGCCGGGGACGATATTCAATTTTCGTCTGGACGAAATAATTCTCTTCATGGATCGTCCGGTACGAAGCTCGATCGTCCAGGACGATCAGTCTGGATATATATAGAAATGAGATATTTTGAAGAGAGAGAAAAAGTTGAGGAGAGAGAAAAACGAAGGAAAAAGTGGAAAAGTGGATTTTCGGGCGACGCCGAGCTGTTTTCGTCCGAAGAGACTGTTGAGGAAATTGCTGTACGCAAGGTAAGGCACAATCCGACTTTCTCAATTTTCAGAACCGTCGAGTTTGGCGGTATTATCTGTCCGGAATTAAGTTTTGTTCGCGATTTTCGTCCGTAATTTCCGACTGGTTTAGTTTCTACCGCGTAACTTTCTGTATTTTGTTGAACTGCCGAGTGTGCACATTTTGGTTATTTTTTTAAGATTTTTGTCCGGGTATTTTTGATTCGACTGTGTTTTTAGTCGACTGGATTTTTCTGTGAACTTGGAAATTATCTGTGCAGTAGAATAAATGTTCTAAAATGTTGATATCTATATTCTGTGCGAATTTGGTGAATTTTGATTTTCAGGAAAATTGTGTAAATTCTGTATACTGCCGTTGTGCTGCCCGATTTTTGAGTAATTTCTGTTTTGTCCAGAAATCTTCTGAATTGATATACTATCTGTATATGCTATATAAAGGGAGTTATAAGGGGCCTGGATCCTATGAGATTCAGTTAGTGTCTGGGAATTCTGAAATGAGCTCAATATGAAATCTGATATCTGTTCTGTTCCGGATCCGAGGAAACAATCTGTTTAGGTGCTATATGCACTATATATGTATTCTGGTCCAAGTTAAATCAAATTGAAATTGAATTTCATGATGAAAGCTTTCCTAAATTGGAGTTCCAAACAAGGAAAGAATTCGAAATTTGAAATTTTCAAATTTCAAATTTGAAATTTGTGCAGGAAGGGGTTGGGTGGATGAGGGGAGGTTGCCGGCAAGGAGGCCGGCCGGGGTTATGGTGGTGGATGGCGGCGGGTTCCCAAGGGGGCGGCGGCAATGGGGGTGGAGGCGGGATTTCTTGTAGTGGAGGGAAAGAAGATGAAGGAAAACGCGAATGAGAAGATAGAAAAGTCTAACCACGAGCCGCGGACTCTTCCAACGACTGGTGGGCCTTGCAATTTGCTCCCCTTGAGCTCTCTCCCTTCTCAAGCCCTCATGCAAGAAGAAGTAGAAACCAAAAGCAATTTTTTATTCAAACATTCATTAGATATTACAAGAGAAAAGACCCATATATATAGGTCTCAAGCATACAAGAAGAAATAAAGACTAAATTGCCCTCAGGGCCCCAACATGACTCAACTCAACATAAGGGTACAATAGGAAGACATAAAAATAAAATGCATAAACAACTAGAAATATAAGCTCTGAATCGTGGCCATCGATCTGCGATGCTTCCGGCGATACACATGTTTGAACCTTGGATCGATGTCTTCATTATATATATATATAATGAATGGGAGAAGATGGCTTAGAACAACATCAACATCAAGCCTTTATCCCACTATGCAGGGTCGGTTGCAAGAATCTTTATTGTCCATTCTGTTTTGGTAAGAGTCAAATTCTTATTTAAATCTAATAAAGAAATGTCATTTCTAATATTTTCTAATCAAGTCTTTTTAGGTCTACCTCTACCTTTCTTAATATAAGTCAAATCTAATACATCTACTTTACTAATCGGGTCATTGGAAGGCTGTCGTTTTATATGACCAAACCATCTAAGGCAACTCTCTCTAATCTTATCTTCCACTGGAGCTACTCCAACCTTTTCACGTATATACTCATTTTGTGTCATGCCTCTAAGAGCAAAGCCACTCATCCACCTAAGCATCCTCATCTCCACAACATTTAACTTAGTATTATGCTTCTCTTTTAATGGCCAACATTTTGCACCATAAAGCATTGTAGGTCTCACCACCATCTTATAGAATTATCCTATAAGTTTTGGGGGGACTAGTCTATACAACAAGCCTGATACATTCCTCCACTTCAACCATCCAACTTGAATTATACTAATAATATCCCAATTATTTCACTGTCACTATGAAAAATAGACCGAAGATATCTAAAACGTGTATTCTTATTAATGACTTGATCGCCCGATAGTCACAATCCCTCCGCTAGATTTATTATTACTAAAATTATACTCTTTAATCTTTTTTAGATCTACTCAAACGAAAGCCTTTAGACTCTAAGCTTGACCTCCATAATTCAAGTTTACCTTCAACTCCCTCTCTAGTCTTATCAACAAGAAGAATATCATCAACAAAAAAAAAATACACTAGGGTACAACCTCTTACAAATGTCTAGTGAGAACATCCATGACTAAATCAAAAAGATTTGGTCTTAAGCTGATCCTTGATGTAATCCAACTGAAATAGGAAAATACTTTGTCTTGGAAGAGGAGAAGAGCTGTATGCAGATTCAGAGTTTTCGGTGTTTAAACCGGTAATATTTGGATAAGAGGATGAGATCTCGCTATCTATAGGCATGATTGGGTTTCTCGGTTAAAAGAGAAGATGAATTTTGGGCAAGGGCTACTGATGCTTGAAGGGCGGCTATAGGCAGGATGATGGAGAGTTACCGCCAGTTGAGGGTTTAGAAGAAAGGGAGGAAGGTTTGGTGTCGACACTCATAGAAGACTTAGGATTTTCCTAGGCTCTGATACCATGAAGAAATTGTTTAGAGGAAAATTCAAATTCTATTATACTCCTTGGAACTATTACATAAGACATTTATTCTAATTAATTATAATAATCATTTCTCATGGATCTCCAACTGCAGCCCTCGGATTGCTGCCCATAATCTCTAACTGCAGCCCTCGGATTGCTGACGTGGTCTCCCCTTGACTGCATGATTTAGCACACTAAGCTAGTATTTTTTGGCTCTTGATTAACGCATTGCCTGTACGTGCATTATTCTTTTTCATGTGTATACTCTTATTTATTATAATAATCTATTCTTAAAGTTTCTTAACCTTTTTTTTTTTTTTCAAATGTGAACTTTTGTTGTCTACTAAATTTTCCCTTGGAATGCATAGAACCTGATATTAGCTTTTCATGTCTTTTACTCTTTACCAGGTTGTTGCATGCTTGTCTGTATATGCATTATTCTCTTCCATGTGTACTAGTATTTATTGTTATAATCATTACTTTTTTTTTTTTGTTATAATCATTACTTAAAATTTCTCAACAGTTAAGTTTTGCCAATATGATCTTTTGTCGTCCTCCGCATTTTATTCCAGAATCCATATTTACTGAAATTTAGTTATACGAGCCTTTTACTTTTTACTTGGTTTCTGCATGCTTGTCAAGGCATCCTAACACTGATAGAAGCCATTCATGGTCATTTTTGTGCCTTTCATGTTAAGTTTTTGAATTTAGTAGTGTATATTTTGATATGGACGATGCTTTAGATAAAACCATAAAGTTCGATTGAAGTTCTATTGCTGCAATCTGATTTGTTTATTGTTACTTCAGAGGGTTTGTATTTGTTGGAGATTGATCGTATTCTTAGACCTGGTGGTTACTGGGTTTTATCTGGTCCCCCCATCAACTGGAAAAAAATGTACAAGGGTTGGGAAAGAACACCTGAGGACTTGGAAGCAGAACAGAATGACATAGAAGATTTCACCAAAAGACTTTGTTGGAAGAAGATTGCAGAGAAGGGTCCAATTGCCGTGTGGAGAAAACCAACAAATCATCTCCACTGTGCAATTAAATTGAAAAGTTCAAGATCTCTACGTTTTTGTGAGGGAAGAGATCCAGATAACTCTTGGTGAGTAGTTGTCTCTAGTTCTTCTTTAATTCTTTGGCCTCTTCTGTATTGTGGAAACTTTCTCCCGTCAGATGATTTAATACTAGAAGTAAACAAGGTGGTACGGTGCCTAGTGATTGTACATATGCAGGCAAATGCAGCAGAAGAGAGAAAAACTTCATCATGACTGTAAACATGATAAATTTTCTAATTTGATTAAACTGCGGACGTTCAGTAGGGAGTATTTCCTTCAAAAATATATATTGGGATTGCTTCAATGGTTGCTGTATCATCTTTTTTGGACAAATCTATTAATAATAGAGGCTTGTTACTGCACAAGTATATAATCTTTGATAGATTCCCGTCCAAAGCAGATGATTTGATAGCCTTTAAAATATTTCATTTGGATTTTTTTTAATATTAGAATTTTATTCAACTAATTTTGTTAGCCTCAATAATTTATCTTACGATTGTTTTAACATGTGCAACAGGTATGATGAGATGCAGACCTGCTTAACTCCCCTTCCAAATGTGGAACAAATTAGGGATACAGCTGGTGGCATCCTTTCCAAGTGGCCAAAAAGATTAAATGTTGTGCCCTTGAGGATCAAAAGTTGGAGTGTAAAGGGAGTCACTGCTGAAAATTTCAATCGTGATAATCGTATTTGGAATCAGAGACTCTCACACTATGGTATTTACATCAATTTTGGTTTGGCTGGTAAATACAGAAACATTATGGACATGAATGCTGGTTTAGGAGGTTTTGCTGCAGCTTTGGCAAAATATCCAGTTTGGGTTATGAATGTAGTTCCGGTGAATGCATCGATCAACACTCTTGGCATAATTTATGAGCGTGGTCTTATCGGAACTTACATGAATTGGTACCAATCAGCTGTCCTCCCCCCTCCCCCTCCCCCTTCACCACGCACATATTTGTTCTCTCAGTTAAATATACTATGTGCAACTCTATTTGCACTATTTCTTTATAAAAAATTAAATATATGTCCCCTTCCTGCTCCCTGATAGGAAATACTTGATCACCTTTACAGCAAATCTCCACGAAATACTGCTGTCCGGAGCAGGAGAACAGTGAAAACAGTGGAAAAAATGTAGAAAACTGAGAGAAAATCGTAGGAAAAACTTGTATTTTACTAGTTGATGCAAGAAAAATAACAAAGATACAATTGATCCTCAATTCGAGAGGAGTATCGATCTCTCCCAAATCTCTAGACGCCGCTAGAGCCCAAAGAAACCTAAATCTAAGAGATCTCAAATTTCAGCCAAATTCAAGATGCCCAAACCCTAGGAAAACAAACTATTTAATACATACAAATCAAAAGGAAATCCCTAAACAGTCCCTACATTCAAATTTCCCTCTCAAAACCCTCAAAAAAGCTTCCTAAAAAGCTCCCGCACGGTGTGCGGCTTGCTCGGCATCTCAGCGGGCGGAGATTTCTCCGTCTAGTTTGCGCTGGGCCGGTCCCGCACGGACCGGCTGGACCGGTCTAACACTCCCCTCCACCCTTTTAAAAAAAAAAAGAATATTACTTTTTATTTCCCCTCAAAATATATTTTTGGCACTGTCATTGATTTCTGAGTTTGTCATATGTGCATTGCAGGTGTGAAGCATTCTCTACTTACCCTCGCACGTATGATGTAATACATGCCGATGGAATTTTCAGCACGTACTTGAACAAGTAAGTTTTACTTCACCAAAACTTCCAATATGCGAGTCTTTAAAAAGGTTATCCTCAGTTAATCTCATAATCTCAATCTAATTTAATTTGCATAATTGTTGGTTCTCACATTGTAGCACAATTCACTACATTCAGTGATCAAATTGCTTTGATTTTCAACAATGGTTTTTTATTTTTTTGTTTTTGTCATTCGTAAGATATATCATGTTCGCATATAGCGCTGCTACGTCAATTATATAAACGTGCAAGGCCTACTTAACGAAGTAGTTCCCTGTGCTGATTTAGAGCCTCTATTATCATCACAATTCCCTGTGGTGTAACATTTATGTGATAAAACTATAAAATAGAGTGGTTGTGGTTTGTATGGGAAATGTAGCACTGATAGGATGTTGGGGATATAAGCCTTTCAGCGGCTCGGTGGTAGATAATGTGAAAGGGATTGGGGTAAAACAAAATGCTTAAAAACTATTACTGTAGTCCTTTTATTACTGCCCATGGATCTCCAACTACAGCCTTTGGATTACTGCTCACGGATCTCCAACTGCAGCCCTCGGATTGTTGCCCACGGATCTCCAACTATAGCCCTCGAATTGCTTCCCACGGATCTCCAACTATAGCCCTCACATTGCTGCCCACAGATCTCCAACTATAGCCTTCGGATTGTTGCCCACATATTGTTGATGTGGCCTCCCCTTAGCTGCGTGATTCAACAATCCCTCTCAAGTTGGGTTGTACAGGCTGTACAATCCTAACTTGCGAACAAATTTATCAAGTAGAGAGCTTCGTAGTGTCTTTGTTAGAACATTGGCAAGTTGTTCATGAGTTGGAGTATATACTTTAATTTCCGAGTTCTCTATTTTCTCATTTATAAATTGTTTATCAATAGTAACATGTTTTATTCTGTTTTGATGTACTGGATCCTTTGTCATACTGATTGCAGCTTGATCGACACATTTCAACTTTATCGTGCCTTGAATATTTATTCCCAATTCAATTAATACTTGTTTGACTTAAATACCTTCACAAATAATAATTGTTAATGCTCTCAGTTTAAATTCGACACTGCTTCTGGAAACAACAGATTATTACTTGCTCAATCATGTCACTAGTTTCTCCACACAAATGAACAATGTCTTGTGGTCGATTGATTGTCAACCTAGCTTCCTTTGCCCAATCTGCATCAGAATAAAGGATCAATTTCCTATCTTCATTTTTCTTGAATAATAGCTCATTTCCAGGAGTATTCTTGAGTTATCTCAAGATTTGGTATGCTACCTCCATATGCTCCTTCATATGATTACTCATATATTGGCTTACCATACTCACAGCAAACCCAATATCTTGACGGGTGTGGGAGAGGTATATGAGCTTTCCTACAAGACGTTAATATCTTCATTTATCTACTGGAACTCCCTCCTTATCTATCCCAAGTTTCTTCTTAGGATCCATAGGTGTACTGGCTGGTCTGCATCCCAGCATGTTGGTCTCCTTCTGTAGGTCTAAGGTGTACTTTCGTTGGAAAATAAATATACCTTTGCTTGATCGAGCTACCTCTATACCAAGGAAGTATTTAAGTGATCCTAGATCTTTAACTTCAAACTCCTTGGATAAAGCATGTTTGATCTTCATTATTTCCTCTATATCACTTTCAATAAGGATGATTTCATCCACATATACAATCAATAATGCTACATTGTCTCTTTCTGCTGCTTCATAAACAAGGTGTGATCTTCTTGGCATTGTTTAAAACCATGGCCTTTTATATACTTTGAAAATCTTCCAAACCATGCTCTTGGAGGCTGTTTTAATTCATACAAGGATTTCAACAGTTTACTCATTTTATCCCTTTCATAAGACTTCTGAATCCCCATTAAAATCTTCATGTAGACATCTTCTATCAGGTTCCCATTCAAGAATGCAATTTTGATATTTAGTTGATGTAAGGGCCAATCTAAATTTGTTTCCAAGAAAAGAATAATCCTTATGGTGTTGAGTTTTGCAACAGGAGCAAAAGTTTCCTGATAGTTTATTCCACAAGACTGAGTGAATCCTTTTGTAATTAGTTTAGCTTTCAGCCTCTCAACACTACCATCCATCTTATGCTTTACAGTGAACACCCATTTGCAAGTCACAACTTTCTTTCATGGTGGGAGATTCATAATCAACCATGTTTTATTTTTTTACAAGACCATAATTTCTTCTTTAACAGCTTGTCTCCATCTTAAGGTGATTCAAAGCTTCCTGAATATTGGTCGAAATCTGTACATCATCCAACCTGCAAAGGAAGACTTGATAAATGTCTGATAATTTACTATAGGAGAGAGTTTTCGATTAAATGCTTGGTGTGTGATTCTTTTTGGTCATTTGATGACTCTATCTCTTTTTGAACTTCCTCATTTTTCTCCTATGTATAAATTTCTATAGTTGTTGGATTCATTGAAGTAGAGTTGATAGGTACAAGATGTATCTCACTGCTCGACATATGCTGATTTTTCTTTCTTTTTCTTTAGTATACATATTGTTATTCCTTATTTGTTGATATTTGCAGGGATTTATTAGGACTTATGGGTGGAGGTAATAGATTTGAAGGTGGAGTTTATGATATAAGTGATATACCTTGGGAAATACCTCTGTTTAAAATTGCGAAATAAAAGGCGCGCCTCTGCGCAATTTGACCCAAAAACGCCTCGAGGCTTACGCAATTCGTCTCCTGGCAAACGCGTATGCCTCACCTGGTCTGAGGCGCGCCTCAGAGGCGCAATTGCGCAATTCTGGGTGAGGCGTACGCCTCATAGAACCGGCCCCACCCACTTAAAATGAAGCCTTTTCTCCTCTTAATCCCGCACGGCTTCCAGGTTATCCCGAAATTTTCCTTATCGCAGCCTATGTTCGCGAAACAGAGGGGATCCTGCACGGTCGGCTTCCCTTCCCGCCGCCTCTCCCGCCGGTGCCGCCTCTCTCCGGCGAACTTGAAGTGTCCGGCCGCCCTTTAGGAGTACTCCACAATCGATTTTAGGTATTTTTTTTAGTTTAGGGCTAGATTTTTCAAATGAAAGAAAATCTAGGAATTTTTTTTTTGATTTTTTTTATGTGTTTTTGGATTTTTAAATTCTTATTTACGCAATTCTGCGTCCGTGAGGCTTACGCCTCACACGGCCTCGAGGCTTACGCCTCGCCTCACGGACGAAAACCGCCTCGAGGCTTAATTACGCAATTTTAAACCTTGGGAAATACTCGTGGTTTGAATTTCTTGAGATATTTGTTGTTTTTGACTGAACTCTATTTGGTTGTATAATAAGTAATTCCACTCCCAAGTTTGAAATTCTCCTTCACTCTCCTCCAGAATTTTAAATCTAGTGAAGTATGGTTTGTTTTCAAAGGTGACATCCATGGTTTCAAATACTTTCCTAGAAATAGGACAAAAACATTTGTAACCTCTTTTTGTTGGAGAATTGCCAATAAAGACACATTTTTTTATCTTGGGTCAAGCTTGCTTCTATCTTGTGGATAGATATGAACAAAGACAGAGCACCCAAAAACTTTAGGTGAAAGGTTTAATCATATGAATCAAGCATGAGGATAGGCTTTGAGTAAAGTTTGCTAGATGTTTCAAATTTTTGTATCCAAGTAGGTAACTTATTTATTAGGTATGCAGCAATAAGAATGGTTTCCCCCATTTTGTTGAGGCGCGTATATGCACATGAACTCACTTAGATTATACCTTGGCTTGATTGGTATTTTATTATGGTAGAATGGAAGTACTCTCTCCCATCGTATGATTTTAAGATTTGAAATTTTATATTAATTTGGTTTTGAATCATCAGTTGAAATGATTTAAATATCCTTTCAACTTCAATTTTTTTCTTCATTAAATAAACCCAAGTGAGTCTAGTATGATCATCAAAATATATCACAAACCACCTTTCTCCACTTATATTTTTAACCCTTGGCAGTCTCCAAATATCATTATGTATTAAAGCAAAGGGTTTAGAAGGTTGGTAAGGAAAAATTGAATAAGATGATCTGCTATGTTTAGCCAATTGACAAGTTTCACATTTGAACAAACTTGAATTTTTATTAATAAATAAATGGGGAAAAAGCTTTTCAAGATGCATGAAATTTGGATGACATAACCTATAATGCCACATGATAATCTCTCTATCTTAATTGACTCTAGAATGACTCTAAAAAAACCAACTTACAATAGAATGATTCTTAGGAGTAGCAATTAAGATTTGTATTGATTTGGGTGTCTTGATATAATATAACTCAAAACACATCTCAGCACTAGCAATCTTCTTCTCCAAATCCAGTTCTCTAAAAATACATGCATTATTGAAGAAAATTGTTAAGCAATTACTATCACGAGTCAATTTATTAATGGAAATCAGATTGCACTCAAGATTGGGCACATAAAGTACCGATTTAAAGGTGATAGCTTCTGTGACAAAAGCAGAACCAGTTCCCAAAACATTGGATGTTGAGCCATCAGCAATCTTAACTACTCAATTTGAATGATAAGGTTTATAATTATGAAGGACTGTAATGTCTCCTGTCATATGATCTGTTTCTCCTGAGTCGATAACCCAAAGTTTTGACCATTTTATACTCGAGTGAGCGTGTAGGCTAGTAGAAGGTTCTGGAGACTGTTGGTTCGTGATGTTGTTAAGCAGCAACTTCAGCATGCTCCTTGGTGAAAGGAATGACTTCAGCTTTGATAGATTGATCTTGCGTTGTGTTGATAGTGTTCTCCTTACTTTCTTATGTTGATTTGTTTGCCTTCCAATCAGCTGGGTTTCCATAAATCTTTCAACGTCTCCTTTGTATGTCCTAGTTTGGCATATTGATCACACCATGGTCTAGGAAACGGAGAAGAATTCTCTGCAGATCCAGAGTTTCTGGAGTTCAAACCGATAATATTTGGGTAGGAGGATGAGATCTCGCTATCCATTGACATGGTTGGGTTTCCTCAGTTGAAAGAGAAGATGAATTTTGAGCAATGGATACCGATGCTTGAAGAGAGGCTATCGGCATGATGATGGAGAGTTACCGCGGGTTGAGGGTTTGGAAGAAAGGGAGGAAGGTTTGTTGTTGGCACTCAAAGAAGACTTAGGATTTTTCTAAGCTCTGATACCGTGATGAAATTGTTTATAGGGAAATTCAAATTCTATTTTATTCCTTAGAATCATTATATATATATATATACTCTAGGAGAATAAATAGAAAAAGAAAGATATTTAATCTAAGCAATTATAATAATCATAAGTATATATATATATATATATATATATATATTCTAGGAGAATGAATAGAAAAAGGAAAAACATTTAATCTAATTAATTATAATAATAATATCACACGGATCTCCAACTGCAGCTCTCGGATTGATGCCCACAGATTGCCGACGTGGCCTCCCCTTAGCTGCATGATTCAACCGTCAGTATCATTATTTTTAAGAGAAAAATCAGGAAATGCTTAGAGAAAAAATCATACCCTGATTCAATATTTATCAGGTTTTCTTGGATGTTTGCTGAGTCCATTTCTGCTGTATGTACATTCCCGCATAGTTTCTATCGTGTATATTTGCACGGAAATGCTTGGCTTGCTTGTATGAGCGGCCACAGCCAGCATAGTTCATCACCGTTGCACAATGGGGATGCTTGAATTGAACGAACTTTCTTAAGAATAAAAAGGTTTACATCATGAAGTTCCTCTACTGCAGGTGTGAATCCATTGACATCTTACTTGAGATGGACCGCATTCTCCGCCCCGAAGGGGCTGTAATCATCAGAGACCACGTAGACATTATCGTGAAGGCAAAGAATGAAGCTGAACGACTAGGCTGGCAATGCCGCATGGTTCACAGCGAAAAGGGACCCTTTCACCAGGAGAAACTTCTCATTGTTGACAACTCCATGAAGAGCCATATCACACTCAACTAGCATTCTCCTATATTTGTTTTTTATTTGTCCTATTTGGGCTACAGGTATGTTCAGGATTCTTCATTGTGTTAGAATAAGATTATGGGTAATCATTAATGAATACTAAGGCTATATTTGGGACGGCTTTTTTACTGCTTCTTAAAGCAGCTTTCGAGAATAAAAAATTTAATTTTTGTACTAGAAAGCTGTTTTAAGAAGCAGTGTTACGCCCTCTTCGATTACGATGAAGGGTCAGTATCAGGATCATCACAGGTGGTCTCTCTGCATTCCTTTGGAACTGAGTTTTAATTGGTCGTAAACCACTTTGGGTAGTCAATCAATTGTTTCTTTCAGATATCTGAGGATATATCAAGATTATCATTGATGGTATAAAATGTAATGTGATATTCGAAAGATGAAATAATGTTACTGTATCATGCAGAGAAGAACGATGGTCTTGTCCAATAGAGTCATTGGAATTCTTGCAAGAGCTTAAATCCCCAAATTAAATAAACCTCATGTATCGAATGAAGTAAATCTCGTGATTTTTATCATGTCATATATATTATTATCCATCGAGGTTTGTAGGTGAAAATCGCTATCCTCCATGGTTAATCGTATATATGATATCATCTGCTCTTTTATTGGTCTGCTTGCATAGAGTGTAAAGGCATACGACCGTTTTGTACTACGGGATACTACGATCGTATCCTTTGCATGCGAACCCCGCTAAGCATAATCCTTTCGGAGACGCACAGCAAGGTTGCTATCTTTCTGCATGGGTTAACTGATCCTATATTGGAGATCTATGGGGTGATCAAAGGATCTGGCGTCTGGAAAGAAATACAGAATGCCAGAGAAATACAGAGGTTCGTGAAAAGTTTTTTTTTTTTTAATTAAGATAGAACTTAAAAATTTTAAATATGATGACATATTTGTGGGAAATAATACATTAATAATATTTGAAAATAGAATAATAGATTATTAAGTTTATATATTCAATGTGTATATACTAATAAAATTTCCTTTCTTTTAAGACCAGGTACTTAGCAGTGACCAACAAAGGCAGAGGATGGCATAACTTTTTTCCCATTATTCCCCTTAAATCTATTGATATCCCAGCTCTGAACAATGGGATTCTAATAAGGTACGCGCCATTTGCCCTCTGTAAACCATTTTCATCGAGATATTTCACATCAAATGAATGCTTATTCAGCTTGAATCATCTGGAAACTTTTAATTCATGACATAGCAAAGAAAATGGTTTTATGCTATATTTTCCTTTGATTTTATCCCAGTTTGAATACGTACCGTAATGAACTGACGTGTTAAATGCATGGTTACGTAATTTCATCTTAAAAAAAAATTAATAATAATAATAATAAAAAAAAAAAGTGACTAGCTCCAATTACACTTTTTTTTTTAAAATGCGGTCTGAATCCCTAGTCTCCTTCCTCTATTCATCTTTCCCTAATCCTAGAAAAATTATAAGGTGTGGAGTGCGCATCGTCCGCACAAGTACTGGGTACCTAACTGTACGCAATGCTTGTGCGGACGGTTCTCCCCGTTCGCACTTTGCACCTAATAATCTCTCCTAATCATGACCCAAGAAGCTTGCGCAAGAATCGTTGGACAGAGAGGTTAGTTGAGGGGTATTTTATTTATTTTTTTATTTTTAAAATTACTGTCCATAATGCAAGCTTAGATCTTACCCAAAAAAAAAAAAACATTCCACCATTTATATTTGAAGAATGAATAGGTTTTTTGTTAGTTTTATATTTTGTTTTGTGAGAAATGATTTGGTCTATGTTTGCCTAAAATAAAAGTTTTGAGTCATGATTTAAGGTTTTTTATTAGTTTTAGATTTTCTTTTTAAGCTAATAGTTAAAATGTTTGAGTGAGGTTGGCTCAAATGAATTTTTAATTATGAAGTACTTAAGAATGCTTAAGAAGAAAGATTGCTTGAGTGATGTATTTTTGCCCAAAATGAAATTTTCAATTATTAATAAATTTAATTTTAAAAAATTCATTTTGTCATACCTAATTTTTTAATTTAATTATAAATATCAAATTTTAAAATAAATTTATTTGGCATCATTTTTGTAGTTTTCACAAATTTGAAGTAATATAATTATGAATATTGTTATTATTTTTTATGAAAATGGTTTAACTATTAGGGTTGAAAAGACTTGAGCCAAATTCGAGTTGGCTTCTAATCAATCATTTTGAGTCCTATTTTGATTAGTCATTTCCATTATTCTGTATTGTAAATGTAGGTATTCACAATGAATGCATGGCCATCATCTTTTATATTGCTATATGATAGAGAGTTATCTTTAGATGTTAATTTTTTGCCACATATAGTGGTGGTAATTGGCGCCCCTTACAAGTTTCATGTAAGTCAACTTTAAATCAGCTGAAGGATATGGTTCTTAGAGCGCTCAAGTACAATCCATCAAAGTTCAGAGCAACTATTGAGGTTCGTTTTCAGTGTGGAGCAAATTCATTGCCTCAAAAGTTGAGGACGATGAAGTATTTGAATTTGTGTTGTCATTGGCTATTGTTGAAGTTCTGATTCTATATGTGGAGGTTAACAAATTTCAGAAGATAATAATTTTGACGAAAATCTTTCAACTTAAATTCATGATTCAGTCGTACTCAGCCATACAGATGAGATGCAAGATGCTTCCGAAAGGCACATGGCAATGCCAAATTTACACCTTGGACATGTTAGGAGTCGATCTACACCTTGAATTGGACTTGGCTTGCTCATTTTAAATATTATTCATATTTTGCTCAAGCTAGCCTAAGTTTTACATATATGTTGGTACTTAATTTGTTTATTTATGTTTTATATTTTTTATGATATGTAATTTCTTGTAGCTATCAAGAAATAATTATGGGGTAGTTGAAAGCAACAAGATTTTTAGCATCATTTGGCTATAAGAAAGTTTAGGATTCAAGTCTTCATACTATACATACAACTATAAAATGATTCTTCCCAAATCTTGAGGGGCAAGGATCATATTTTGAATAGGATGTTAGATGAATGAATAAAAAAATGTGGATGATTTGACTATTATTATTATTATTATTCATAAATTCTTATAAATATATTGAGTGACTTATGTTGCTATATTTATAAGGCAAAGTAACTTGCTTAAAATTGTAGTAAAGGAATATAAGAGAAGATATGCAAAGGCAATTCCTAATAGAGAAAACTCAGGAGTCTAAAGAATTGGTTTATGCTAGGGGTGTTAATATTAAATACGACCCGAAAATCCTTCTCGAATCCGACACGAAAATTTTGGGTTTGGGTCAATCCGAACTTGGTCGAGTTCGGGTTGGGGATTTTGACCTGTTTGCAAAATGGGTCGGGTTGGAGTTGACCCAGAAATCCTGAAATCAACCTGAACTCGGATCGGACGTAGCCTTATGAGTTCGTCGAGTCCACCAAAGGCTCGAAGAGATGCAACCCGCTTAGGCTGTTAGCCATCTGTGTCCGCCTCGTCAGTGTCACCGGAGACGTTGCTGTCCCACTTTCGCGTGCTGGACGATCTCAGCTCGAAGAACTCATATCGGACGTCACCAGTCCGTCAGGCGGTCAACGATCGAAGCAGCGACGGGAGGCTCAAGGCTGCCATTTTCACACGCTTCTTTAGCCAAATATTGTAAATCCGTGTCGAGTCGGGTTGACCCGAACCCGAAGCGGGTCGGGTTTTGTAATATCAGTTCTGTTGAGTTAAGAATTTGAAAGATCAGTTCAGTAACCTAATCCAAAGCCAGATCCTGGTTAAGAAAGGTCTCTCGTCGCGATCCGGCTCGGGCGGGATCCGTCCCCGTCGGGTCGGGTCGTGACAGGTTTGGGTCCCAAAAACCAACCCGTTTTCAAAAACAAGTCGGTTCGAGTTGACCAGAATTGTGCCATATCAGTTTCGGGTTCGACCCGACCCGTGACCCGAAATTAACACCCCTAATTTATGCAATGATTATTAACTAAAGCCATTGGAAAATATTTTTAAAATGGGTTTTCAAAGAGATAACAAGTCGCTAAAGCTTGCTGAAGAAAAAATAGGTATTTATTGTTTTTTTTCTCCTTATATAATGTTATTTTATGTTTTCCTAAAAATTTATTCTTTCTAGTTATCCTTTTACTTGTTTTCAGGTCCTGCTGTGACCATGAAGACTAATGAAGGAATCTAGCTCAGTGAAAGTCAGATATTTATATTAAGAAGGATAAAAACTTCAATAAATATATGAATATCCTTTAAAGTAATCTAATAGGAATTATTAGTACTTATGATGAAGATATTTGCCGTTGGAGGACACTGACAGAATTGTGCCATATTTAAAAAAATAATAAAAAATAAATAAATTAAGTCGCATTCTATTTTTCTTAATATATTATCCTTCATATTATATTCATATTAAATTTATTTAAACTCCAACACCTCATGATTTGCTTGAAATATAAAAAATTAAATTTATTATTGTTTTCTTAAATTAAACATATGCAAATGATCAATATCGATATATACGCTTAATGAGTCCGTTATTATTGAATAAATGTTTTTTTGGATCACTTCAAAAATAAGCTCAAAACTTTTAGTTGATTTTTTTGAGTGACTTTTTTTTTTCTTTTTGGAAAAAAAAAAACAGCGAGTATAAAAGAAGTGAATAGTGCGAGCCTCGCTGGCATTCCTCGAGCAAATTCATGGTACATGCTTTTCTCTTATTTATCTTTTGGCTACCGAAGGCTTCTTTTCTCCTTGCTCTTCCGTCTTCAGCTCTCCTTGCTTCCCAAACCCTAAATACTAGGACAGGAAGGGACATCTCTCTAAATTTCTTCTCCGAATCCGATGAATTTCAGGTGCGATGCGATTTCGTCATTTTTCTTTGTTTGTTTTTGTCCGATTCGTTGCGTTTTGTTCCATTCGTTCTTGTCGTTTTTGGTGTTATCTGTTTTTTTTTAGTCCACCCGTGGATTTGGATTATTCCAAGGGAGATGGATGCTGCGATCTGATTCTTTGTTTTCATTCTCACAAGATCCATTCAGTCGATTGGATTCCTTACTTGAATTTGGGAATCTTATGCAGGTTTTGCGGTTATTTTTCTCTGTTTCTATTTTTTGAACATTTGAGGTTTGATTTATTGTCCTGATGAAAGGAACGTCGCTTAGATATATTTTGTTTTTGGCATGTTATCGGTATCTAATTCATCTAACTGCTCTGTTTTTCCCTTTTTGTTTTTGTTCGTATTTATTGTGATGAATAACATTTTTGTTGTTTTGGATGTGTCTGATGGAGCATGTTTTGGTTGATCTATTCGTACAGAAGTTTTATTTATTTTTTGGCCATTGAGTGGGCAATACTATGTACTAGGAGGGTAAAATACCCACTGAAATTCTTCGTATTTGCTGCCATCATTTTCTTTTCAGTCCACCGAATGATATGGCTACTATTGTTTTCTTATTATTATCCAGAAATCCTTAAATATATATAATACCTAAACGAGAAAACAACATATGTATCGAAATATCGAATCTGTAAATTCAATGGAAATTATTTTAAAATGTTACATTCTCCGGACCTCCGTGAGTACGCATTTTATCTTCTGTAAAATAATTATATATTGTAGTTTTCATATATTCTTCCGTGAAATACAATTCTATTAAGTCAAGGGTGTCAATTTCTCAGATCCTCACGAGTAGCCCCAAATCCAAAATTGGACCCTTCTCCCGACAACTATCAGGTTTTGGGACTATAGCCTCGTGACCCCGACCCGATTTTGTCAAACGGGTCAATTTATATGGACTCGAACACCCGATCCGCTTCGGGCTCGGTGTCAACCCAACCTTGACCCTGCGAATAAACAATCGTTAGTCCAGTTCCACATCTCGCGGCACACGGCGGGTCGACCAGGGGCAGGAACACTGAACGCCGACGAATTTCTAAGGCGACCTGCACGCGCCAAAATGCAGCGGTAAACCCTGGCAAACGCTCGAAACCTTGAAGCACCCCCAAGTGAGCGACGCCAAACCTTCATACGCCCGGCGAAAGCAGCCGGGAACGTAACGACTCGAGCTTGTGACCGTGAGCTCGGGCGCATGCCGCGGACGATGCTGGTCCTCGTACCGCGACGCGGACCGGGCAGTTGGGCAGGGGCCGGTCAGAGGCAGAGCAAGATGAGTTTTTTGCGGGTAATTCCGGATCACTTTCTCGGGTTTCCTTGGTCAACCCGAAACCCGACCTGGATTTTCAAAACGGGTCGGTTTTGGATCCGAACCTGTCCTGGTCGTGTCAAACTAAAACCTAAAATTTCGGGTCTTGTTCGGTACGAACCGAAGACACATCTGTCACACACTGTGTGATATGAATCGTAGGTACTCCTGCGATACATGCTCATGAAGCTCTACAGCTATCTGGCAGATAAGCCGGCTTGTAGAGCTGCGCATGAGCTCGCAATAGCTGCTTAGTGGAGTGATACTCGTCGTCTCACTCTGGCGTAATACATGCTAGAATACGCCACTATCTTCAGTTATATAGAGCTAGGCATCAGTGAGCTATCACGATCCTGACTCATCGATAAGTCAACCATATATATCCACCGTGCTTACGCGTCAACCATACGATCCATGCTATATCCTAGAATCCTACACATATGAATTCGTCACTAGCGACCTGGTTACTCACTATACTGATTACTACGATACGAAGACCTGTATTAGACCTGCTCTCTTGCACCTTACACATAGTATGTGAGCCAAATCCACCGAGATCCTAATCAAGTACGTCAAATAGACAACTTCAATATTCAAATCTGGTCTTTAAACCTTAAGGTACTTCTCTACTAGAACGCTCTCCAGCATTCAACGGCTTATTACATTCTGGCCCACTCCGATATGGCGTCTTTCATAAAGAGTGCAAAAGTAAAATTCAAGTCGGTATGACTTGCCGAAAGACAACAATAGGCATTGATGGCGATATTATCTATTATTTATTTAAATATTATTTTAATTACTTTGCTTGGCGTTGACCCTCTTTGACTCATACTTCTGTTTATTCATTGCTAGAATACTAACTACAATCAGAGTTGCTCAGTGCGCTCTTTTACATCTTTGGAACTAAAGTTACACTCTTTTCTTTTTCACATACTATACTATTAATTAATCCTATCCATCGTGACCTTGAAGTCTTAGCAATCATGGGTCACTTTCGATTATTACTAGTAGTTTTCTTGTTACTTCATTAAGGTACTCTAAATTTTAAATCATCTCTAATTATTACATGAATCTTTAGAAAATAAATTAAGCCTGACGATTACAACACAACTTAGGACATATTCTTAAGTGTATATTGCATTTTAAACAAATGATTGTAATTTTCTCTTAACATGAACTCAACTAGTGCTCATATACTACATGGTATAACCATGAATATCTAAGTATATATATATATATAACTGATTAAAAAGTATATTATATTCATCTTAAAATAAAATTATAAATATTCTTAAATCTTCTTTATAGATTACTCTAAATCTATCATAAATCTTCTTTATAGATTACTCTAAATCTATCATAAATCTTCTCTATATTTATTACGTATGTCACTCCCAAATAGTTATAAATAGACTCACATATTTCACATGAAAGAGGGGGAGGAGGAGGAATAAGAGAAAAACTCTGAGGCTTGAATAATCATTGAGCTCCATCCCATCAGCACCATAGATAAATTCGTGCTCTAAGCCGTCACTGTTGAACCTTTGATTGACCATCGCTGTCGGATTTTTGTGCAAAATTAGAACGTTAAATTTTATATATTTGTTGTATTGTACATATATTTATTTGTGTTATGAATCTTCTGAGGATACTAAATTTTATCTTTCTATTGCTGCCAATATTGTAGGAAGCAACAATTCTTATAAAAAAAAGAGGTGAAAATATTCTTCTATTATTTTGTTTGTTTCTTACTTTCTTTCACCACAACCGCAGCCGACTTTGAACGGTTTGATTCTTCCGTCCGCTTTAAAAGCTGTATATAGAATTCACGATTTTCAATTTTTCTTTCTTTTTTTTTTTTTTAAGAAAAAATTAGTGTTTTTGAGCTTTCATTAGTTACATTTTACTCATAAGTTTTATCACCACCCAACTACTGCCTTGTAGATCAATACCCAATTGTAGTCACCAAAATTATTTTGACATTTTAAATGACTTTTTATTTTTTAGTCTTTTTGTCGAGAAATAAAGCCTTTTGATTTTTATTTATTTCTTGACATTTAGAATAATTAAGGTAAACTTACACGTATAATATATATGAAAGATTCAAATTCAAGATCTTTTAATTTATAATCAAAATTTATGATTTAATCTTTTTAAAATAATAATAATAATAATAACTTACAAGCATAGTATCAATTAAATTATTTATTTATTTGTTTCTTGTTTAGGAGTGAGGATGAGAGATTAATGCGAGCCAAGCTGGCATTCCATCTCCGTTCTTTCCATATTTATTTTTACTATTTTTGCCACCGTCCCTTATTTTCTCCTTCCTTCATTCCTTCCTTCCTCGTCTCGTCTCGTCTCGCCTCTCGTCTTCAACGCTCCTCGCCTCGTCTCGTCTCGTCTCTCGTCTCGTCTCGTCTCGCCTCTCGTCTTCAACGCTCCTCGCCTCGTCTCGTCTCGTCTCTCGTCTTCAACGCTCCTCGCCTCCGAAACCCTAAATATTAGGGCCGGAGAGGATCGTTCCCTAATTCTCTTCTTCATAGGTGAGAAGCGATTTCGTCGTCTTTCTTGATTTGTTTTTTTCTCCGAATCATTGCGTTTTGTTCTATTTAATCTTGTCGTTTTAATTTGTGTTGTCTGTTTCATTCAAAGCCCATCGGGCGGTTTGGTTGCTTCGGAGGGATATGGATTCTGCGATCTGATTCTTTGTTTTCTTTCTTCTAACTTCTAACTATCCGATCGAGATTCCTTGCATGTATTTAGGGATTTCACTTTTTATTAATTTATTTTGTATCTATGTTGGTCGTTGCCCGGATTTATTGCCGGTTATGCATTATTGCATTTTTTTTTTCATTTCAGCCTTTGAGGCTTAATATCATCTCTTGATGAAAGGAACGTCTCCGTAACTCTATTTTCCTTTTTGGGTGTTGTCGGAATCTAATTCATTACATGTGCTCTGTTTTTTTTTCTTCTTTTTAATTTTCTTCTGCTGTGGTAAATAGCAATCGCATTTGGAGAAAATAAATACATTCCGGGAATGCTTCTGGATTTATTTTGGTTTGATTGATTAATACAGATTTTTTTTTTTTTGCCATGGATTGCAAAATGCTCTCATGAGATTCAGAGAGAATGCCTGCTCTTATTAAACTTATTTGCGAATGTCGTTTTCTTTTTAACCTTTTTTTTTTTCGGACCGTCTATGTAAGTGATCATGTATTCTTATAAGAACTTGAACATAATGTCCGTAAGTGTATTCGGATACTTATTTGCTATGATGCTTTTAGAATTTCCTTCAATTTGCCTGATGAATTTTTTTTTTCTTTTAACTAATTTCAATAATCAAAGAGTTTTTATGATTTTGTCTTATTCTATATTTGATCTGCATAGTAAAACAAGAAACAAGTTCAAGATGTCCTGCTGGCTTTGCTGTTCATGTAAGGGGGATGAGTCTGGTGATCCTCGTGAGAAAGAAGCCTTAAACAGTCCGAGGCGTTATATTGATGGTAGGAATGGTATGCTTTTGCTCTATCTCAACCATGCTTTAAAATAGATAATTGGTGCAATAATATTATGCAATACATTTTAGACCATTTCCAACCGAAAATCTCATTTTTTCACTTCAAAATGCCGTGAAACTAAAAAAAAATGCGTTGATTCATCCAATCAAACTCCAATTTTATGAAGGTAACGTTATTTCTTCTTTTCGCGCGTTTCCTTGGCAAGTTAGGTAGAGGTAGAAAAAAAGCGGAGATGAATAGTGTAACGTCAATATTGGCGTCCCACTGTTCACCCACATGCAAATAACGGAAGTTTTACCATTTTGCTGGAGCTCAGCATCAAACGCCATTTAAGCGTTTGGAGTTCGGTTGGAGATGCCCTTAAGAACAAGCTTTTTTGATGAACGAACTCTATTTTGCAGGCTCAGTAGTTGATTTTGACTAGCAAAAATTTTCACTTAATGATGTGTTTGCATGCTGTTTTTTTTTTTTTTCCTTTTTGCATTGCCTGTTTATGATAATATTGCAGTTTATAATTGAAGTTTAAACTTAAAATACATCTACAACAAAACTTGCCTCAGGCATTGCGATCAAAGATGCTTGCAATGCTTTATCTTGCAACAATAACTCCTCAAAATGGTAGGTCTCTGTTATTTGATTACTTTTGATATGCAGAAATGGCAACACTACATGGATATTGATGTTGTTGTTGTTAATCCATATAATGGTTTGTTTTGGATATTTACTATGGAATTAGAAAATTGTTGAGGCAGTGCTTTTTGTTCCAAAATTTCATTTTCTAATTAATGTTTCAATCTTCATTTTGATTCATCTCCAGGAGCACAAAAAGGTTCAAGGCTTTCTGGTGTGGATAAAACAGAGCACCAGAAGGCAATACTACCTATTGACGTACCTGCATTATCTCTTGATGAGCTGAAGAATAAAACGGACAACTTTGGCTCAAAGGCTTTGGTTGGGGAAGGTTCATATGGAAGAGTATATTTTGCTGTTTTAAATGACGGTAGACAAGTGGCAATCAAAAAGCTTGATGCCACACAAGAGCCTGAGTCCAATGCTGAGTTTCTGTCGCAGGTCCTACATAAGTTATTTCAATTTTTCCATTATTGCTTCTTTGATATGTAGAACTTGACCATGTTATTTGTTTTGATTCAGGTTGCTAAGGTATCAAAATTGAAGCATGAAAATTTTGTAGAATTGCTGGGCTATTGTGCTGAGGGGAATCTCCGCCTTCTATCCTATGAGTTTGCAACCATGGGCTCATTGCATGATATTCTGCATGGTGTGCCTATTTTACGTTCTGAGCTGTTCTTTCCTGTTTATTAAAATGAGACGTGCTTTACCTTACGTGCTGTGTTTTCTTTCTTTCTTTCTTTTGTTCTCTCTCTCTGGTGATAAAATTTTAGGTAGAAAAGGGGTGCAGGGCGCGCAACCTGGACCGGTCCTTGACTGGATGCAGCGTGTTAGGATTGCTATTGATGCAGCTAAGGGACTCGACTATCTACATGAGAAGATTCAGCCTTCAATTATACATAGGGATATCCGGTCAAGCAACATTTTGTTATTTGAGGACTTCAGAGCAAAAATTGCAGACTTTAATCTTTCAAATCAGGCTCCGGATATGGCTGCTCGCCTTCATTCTACCCGTGTCCTCGGAACCTTTGGTTATCACGCTCCTGAGTAAATATTTTTTTAACTCAGCACTCTAATCAAATTTTCTTTCATTTTACATGTTCGGATAGTGATGTTAGTATGCTTAACCTCGTTTAATAGTTTGATTGGAGAGTAATTTCTTAGATGATTGTAATGCAGATATGCCATGACGGGACAGTTGACACAGAAAAGTGATGTGTATAGCTTTGGAGTTGTTCTTTTGGAGCTTCTTACAGGAAGAAAACCTGTTGATCATACAATGCCTAGAGGACAACAGAGTCTGGTTACTTGGGTGAGGAGCTCGTTAATTCTTTTATTAATCTGATGGATAACTTCGTATTTTGTTCAACTTGCTGCTTATCTTTGCATTTGATCTTTGTTATGAAGGCTACTCCACGATTGAGTGAGGATAAGGTGAAACAATGCGTAGATCCAAGACTGAAGGGTGATTATCCACCTAAAGGAGTTGCAAAGGTTTCTCTCCCTTCCTGACAATTCTGATTCTACTCGGAAGTCCTGATAGAAATTCTGTTGTACTAATCTGCTTCAATTTCTGAAGTTGCTTATTTTGGTTTGGTTTGTTTGGTGTAGCTTGCAGCAGTGGCTGCTTTATGCGTGCAGTATGAAGCGGAGTTCAGGCCAAACATGAGCATTGTGGTGAAGGCACTCTCGCCTCTCCTTGTAAATAAGCAGGCTCCTCCACAACAACCATCTCCTGCTCCAGGAATCGTAGATAATTGAACTGCCTGGCTGCATAGTGCTTGCTGATGCTGCGCATGTTCTTTTTGTAAAAGTATCGACGAATTATAAAGCTACAAAGAGGGAGATATTGCCACTTAACCTTATTTTTTAACTTCTAATTTATCTTCCCTTCAATCCGGGTATTTTTTTTTCTGAAATAACCCTAGTTCATGCTGTGCTGTAAATAAATTTATGCGCCGCGCACATGATTTATCTTTCCTAACTCACGTTCGCATTCGTTCGTTCTATGTACCTCTTTCTGAACATCATGGACTATTTATTGTTTATGGTTTTTTCTATTATAATTTATAATAGTGCAAAAAGAAAACTTTTTATTAACAAAAAAAAAAACTCAAGCAAAACCAAGTGTCTAATTTCTTCCAGCAAATTCGTCCGCCACATCATCAAAATACACCGGATCTCAATGTGAGTCTAATTCGTATTTTAACGATAAATTAAATCAATATCATAATTACCAAATTAAACCATAATTACAGTAATCTTAATATTATAAGATAACTTTAAAATATTAGTTAATACATAATTAACAACAAAAATTAAATCGATAGTCAATCACTAAATTAATTATAATTGCAGTACTTAATTTTATAAGATAATTTAATCTTAATCAGTAGTAACCTAATTATAGTTATTCGAATTTATAACTAAATTAATATATGTTTGCCAAAATATAACTAAATTAATAAGCTTCAATTTCTAATTTAATAATTAAAACTAAGAATTTATATCCAGATATAAACTAATTCAATAATTCAAATGCGAAGTAAAGCGTTGACCTTGTTACAAATACAAATGACCGCACTACTACCTTCCTTTCGTTCTGTTTACATCTTCTCAATTACAATGGAGCATAAATTAGATTGATGGTTTAAATAAAGCAACTTTACTTTACACGTTTTTTATACAGCGGTCGCTTTAAGACTGAGGAAGTCGGAAACTTTATTGGTGTAGAAATCAGGTTGTATAGAATTGTTTGGATTTTGAAGCATTTGCAGAGTTGTCACGCCTATAAAAAAAAAAAAAGGTAAAATAGTCTTCAGCGGTTATAACCACCACCCATTATTTGGCATAAAAGTTTTCCTCAAGAAGAGATAATACCTGAGAGTACAAGCAGGGTTTTGCAGCCACCATTTTGCCCAAATAGTATATCTGTATCCAATCTATCTCCAACCATACATATTTGTGACTTGAGAATACCAAACCTGTATCAATCTCTCTCATTTCATCATTTTAGCTCAATATAAAATTAAAATAATAATTATAATAATACAATCCAATAATGAAAAACTTCAATACGTACTTTTGGGATAAGTAGTCCATCATAAAAGTGGAGGGCTTTCCAACTACAATGGGTTCCTTCTGAGTTGAGCCACGAATTGCACCAACCATAGAGCCTCCACCTAAATAATTGATGCAAATACATGAAATTAAAACATATTTTATTATTATTATTATTATATTAGAGAGATTGAATTGTGATTTTAGTTTTAAAAAAAAAAAAAAACTTTGTGCAAAGCCTTTATCTATTATGCAATTGGACCATAAATTAACTGAATCTACAAAAAAAAAAAAAAAAGAAATCTGAAGATGTCATGCGGGTCAATTAAGAAAAACGATTGAGCAATTAGAATATAAAGCAAACCTGCCCATTCTTGAGCATCTGTGAGATGAGTAACAGCATCACGATTTGTGGCTATGAAGAGACAACCAGGATTTTCGCGTATGCATAAAGTTCCATACCTGAGTTCAAACAAGTGAAATCATGGACAATTATTATAAGGGAAAAAAAAAACACTTTTAAGCCTAAAATTTTAATATTACATACATACCGTTTATAGTTTATTTTTATATCAAATATGAGTGGTAGAAATGAAATATATGACTGATAGGAAGGAAATATGAGTAACATATTTATTATTAAAATAATATAGGGTGATATGTATGCAATATTAAAATTTTAAATATTTGATATATAAATAATGGATCAACAAAGTTTGAAATTTTATAAAAAATTTGTAGACGGAAGTTTGACATTCCGCAACGATTTGTTGGCTTATATTCTTATAATACTGCGGTAAACTCCTCTAGCAGGTGGCTTACGTTGCGGTATTTCAACGGCTTTTGCTGGTTTAGTCATCAGTGGGCTTTGTTGCGGTTTCTTAAATCGGTGGCCTTTTGTTTGTCTCTGGTGGCTGAACATTGGATTAACTTTATTTATATTGTACGAAAAAATCCATTTTCAAGTGTTGCTATGAGGTATTTTGGTCACAAAATTTTATATTAATCAATTCAAGTAAAAATATTATGTTTCGTTAGCCAAATCAACGAAAAAAATTGATTAATAATTCCTAAATGCTCCACACTAATCTGGCAAACAAAAACTAAACAAATAAGGAACCTTACTGGATTTTATAGTAGTTGATATATCGATCAAAACCAACTACAACAGCACCAACCTGAAATGGAAGCAGACTAAGAGCTCTTAGAAGCCATACTTGAAAATAGAAATGAGAGGCAAGAAAAACCGTACATCCTTGTCATGTTCCATCAGAAAACCGGGTTTTAGCTCTATCTTCTTCTCGCCATCTGCCTGAAATTTCAGGTATTCAAACTAATAACTACCAAAAAATGCAAAAAAAAAATTATACAAAATTTAAAAATCAGCAACAACATAACACTGAAAAGCACACAGACTATGCCATCAAAAGAAGAATCATATTTGTTAATAGTGCCAAAAACTCATATACAGTCATACACTTACTATGCATAGCTGAATTCTGCACTACAATAGCATGAACTATATTAGAATGCATAATAATATTATCCAAACATGTTCAATGTTGCCAGCTTCTCAGAAGATAAACTGGAATGGATGAATATTATTATCACGAACTTGTTAATTTGCAAGAAAAAAACTATGATACTATATGGAGATGCTTTAAAATATCATAACCTAAATGATTATAAAAAACTTATATGGAATTTTATTGTCATATACTTCATAAAATTATATGTTCATAACCATCTATGTTGTTTTTTAAATTCTGCTGCTCAATAATAAGCATCTATAAGATAGATATGCATTCCATCCCTAATTTCTATAGAATATCAAACTATTAAATCAAAAAGTGCTAACAATGATTTAACACTAGGGCATCTGATAGGAAATACTACATGAGAAAGTGACTTCCCTAGGCTGAATTTGAATTTCAGCAAGCTTCAAACCAGAAGTTAAGAAGAGTTTGGCGGAAATACTAACCAGAATTTTTTTTACTAATAATAGATGAAAGAAAACAACAAGATACAATAGATCCAGCTCTCCCAAATCTTTAGACGCCGCTAGAACCCAAACAAATCCAAAAAACTTTCCAAATTTCAGAAAACACAAGATAAAAACCTAACCCTAAGTTAAACAATATATTTAAAGCATAAAAATATAATTAAATTGATTAATTTGATCAAGTATCAAGAAACAATAAAAAAATAAAAAAAAAAATATTAGTTAATGCCAAAATAGCCCCTCAATTTGAAATTTCCCTCCTAATCCCTCATTAAGTCCTCATTAATTTGGCTACTGGACCCCACCCCCAAAGGGCGGCATTGACTGGGGCCGCTGGTAGACCAAGGCCAGTCCAGGATGGACCTGTCCAATAACTGTTCTATCAGCATCCTAACGTCCTAATGGCCCATTCTCCATTTTATCTTATGTTAATCTAATGAAGTTTATTTTCCTGCATTCTGTTTTTGGTTTTGAGGCTATGTATTCAGATGGCCATGAAAGCGGGGGTTATTTTCCTGTTGTTGGATTTTAATAACAACTTGCTTTACACTTGTTTACTAAATATACTTTGTGTTTCACTTTTATTGTTTTCAACTATCAGCTAAAAAGTATAAACAAATCATAAAACAATGCCAAACAAAAGATACTAGTTATACAGTACTGGTGGCATTTAAATTCAGTAAACTGTTAAATTTTTTAAAACAAAAATGAAACAAATCCCTTAAATTAGCAGCACAATTAGCTGACTTGCATCAACTTAACCAATATTTACATTATAATTATCAGCGTATGAAGAAATTTCCAAACCATAAAAATTGAATCAAAAAAGCTGACCACCAAAGGTAACGGGTAACCAACACTAATGGTAGAAATCTGTAATGAACATCCTGATAAGCAAAAAGCATACCGGACCACCAAGATATTGGAGTCCAGCAAGCTCCAGCTCTTTAAGTATACCATCCTCACCTATCACATAAACCTGAATTAAAAAAAAAAAAAAAAAAAAAACTTTAGATTGTAAAGCTAATACTTCTCATCCGTAAACACTAAACTAGAAAAAAATCACAAGCATACAAGTTTGTACAAATAACAAAGCTTAAACGCTTTTAATACAATTGATATATGATTCAGCTGAAACAACCTAACAAGTGGCAAAATTGTAGTCCTAGTATCATAAAAAATGGCAAATGGAAGGAAACAAATCTTTCAAGAGAGTTATCAAGAATTCATGCCAAAAAAAAGGGAGTGCCCAGCGCATGTAGATCCCACTAATACAGGGTATGAAAGCATTGGTGTCTTCAGCCTCTATACTTTTGTAGAAAGGTTGTTACCATGAATTAAATGAAAAACTCCAAAAAGGACTAGCAGCGACTTTCTCAATGCTCCATGATGTGTGCCTTAAGTTTCAGTAAATAAAAGTGCAAGTCATGATTAACAACTAATGCTCAAGTATATGAACATGATAAATAAATATTATTTAGCTTTCATTAAACTTAAACACATTTTGATGTAATCTTAGACACCAAGATGCTTTTGGAAACCATAGCATTATCCTAAGGTTAAACATTTCAATGTAATGTGATAAGTAAAACCTTCAACATTTTGCCCTTTCTTATAGTACTTTCAAATAAAAACCTTTTCAAAGTTTTATAGCAGTGCCACAGGCATGTGAGTCAGCCATCTTGTATTAGAGTGAGCTTGCTTTAAGTACCAGTAGATTGCACATAAAGAAAAGCAAACTAGAATCTACCTATGGAAATAAAGGGATTCTTCATGAAACTATTAAGGCCAAGGAATAGTAAGCTTAGGAAATGGTTCCTGATCAAGTAAACCATAAAAGACTGTGAGCTTTGTTCCATTTCTTGACAGCATTATTTTGCAGAAGATGCAATTGTTTATTGATGTTTGTTTTGAGTTTAGATAATGTGCTCAGTCATCAGTAAGATGTAATTAATAATAAGGGTAACTGGCCAATTGAATTATGTGGCAGTGTAGAAAGAAGAACAAAGTGATTGTATAAGTTGAATAGTCAGATCTCATCAAGTCAAACATGCATTATCCCTTAGCTGAGTTGTGAGTTCCCTTGTTAGAGTTGTTGCGATTTGATTAATAGCAGATAGCATGCTTCCATCTAAATAAAATACAACAATAACTTTGGCACAAACATCCTCAAAAAATCCTCAGCATCTTTAACTGCACAAACAGAATCTATAATTTTCATACCCTAATACAAACAAATAGGATAACTTTATCTAACAGAAAACCTGATTTAATATAACCCCTAAAAAGATAATATATCTAACATTTTATATTAACAACAAGAAGGCTATATCATAGACATGAAAGCTGCAAATTGAGAATGCAATATATTGTCCACGTTATCAGCTGACCACTAACGTTTGCATGAGGAGTCAAACTAAAGTAGATTTTGGGTCACACACAATTAGCTTCAAGATCCTCACCTTTTTATCTTTAGGAAAATCAATCGACTTCAAATAAGCAGCAGCTGCAAAAGATGATGCAAAGATCTCCTCCTAATAGAATAAAACATGTCAAAAGAATATCGTCAAAGGAAAATGAAACCAAAAATACATGTAAAACAACCAGCAAGTTAGTCGAAGAATTAAAAATTGTTAATAATATCAACTAACCTCCCTGACATTAAGACCTAATGTTTCGAACTTCTTGCCATATTGCTTTCGGGACTTGGTTGAATTGTTAGTTACAAACACCAACCTCTTCCCCTAATGAAAAATTGAAAACAACCTAAAATTGTTCACAACGAAACCAATTTAACCATTGAAGAAAAAATAAAAAATAAAAATATACAAAGTAGCAACACTTTAAAAAAACCTTTGAGCGTAACATGTCCAGGGTTTCTGGAACGCCGTCAATCAACTTATCGCCCTTCCACACCACTCCTGCAAAAGGCAATACATGAAAACAACATGAATGAATTCTCGGGAATTCATTAGGTAAAACTGTAAAAGGTAAATGAGAACGGTGGAGACGAAGGGAGGAAGTAGAAATCAACCATCGCAATCAAAGATGAAGGTCTCCACGGAATCGATAAGATCGTCAGGATTCTCTAGCTTTTGCGACGAGGCATTCATGGTATTCGCCGACACCGAGCCCGTTGGCTGGCTATGGAGGTGGTGCCTCCGCCGGCCGAGAGAAGAGAATGGCAAGAAGCTAGATCGGAGGCTGAGTTTGTTCGGTAGAAGCGAGGAGATTAGGGTTCTGGGAGAGGAGGGAGAAGGGGAGTAGAAGAAAGAGAGGAAGGAGTGAGAGACTGAGGCGGTTATTGTGATGAGCATCTCGAGTTCGTCGTCCCGCTCCTCTCCGCCTTTTATCTATAGTCGGAGAAGGCAATAAAAGGCGCAGCATATAAGCTTGTAGAGAGAAGGTGGGGGATGGGATTTGATTTGAGTGTGTGGGCGTCGAGAGTGTGGACTATGGCCAAAAAATAATAATAATAATAATCATATATAATATATTAAAATTTAATTAGAATTTTATTTCAAATTTTATTAAAACTTTCTGAATTAATTTTTTTTTCCTATTTTAAAATAATTGATTTTATCATTTTCCATTTTTAGAATAATTTCCTCATATACATTATAGAGAGAAGCGCATATTGATTATGATTGTGTATTTTCTCTCCAAATAAAAGATCATGAATTTGAGGTTGTATGTCTGAGTATAATATTAAATTCCCTCAAAATAAAAGGAAAAAGAAAAATTTGAGCAGATAACAAAATATTCTTCTTTAAACCTATTTGTTCATGTTAATTTTTTGGTGGTTATTTTCTAATAACATCCATGGCATCGCTTGAATCTCTTTCAGCAGTTCTGCTTACCCTCTTTCCACTTCCAGAGGGTCCTTCGTTATGAAATTAGGGTCTCGGTTGCACTTGGAAGAGTTAGGAATCCCCTGACGCATGCTACCAATGCTTCCTTGATTGGAGGTAGGACTTTGGCAAAAGAAAGAGGAAGCCATGGAACTCATTTGCGATTCGGCGCATCATATACGAGAATAGCATTTGACAATTCCGCCCTTCTCCGGTCTAAGGAAGATGTTCTTCTAGAAGTCTTGCTAAAGGAACTGGAAGCACTGCTCTCTCCATTCACTTCAAAGATGAAGGAGTATACTTCTGAATCAAGGCGCTAGATAGCCTAAGGTGAACAAAGCATATTTTACATAAATATATCTCATTATTTTAGGCCAAAATTCAATTTTTTTTCATATTTAGACAATATTTTCATATGCCACCCCCAAAAAGTGGAGAAATTATTGTGTGTAGATTCCGTACAAGAAGAATGGTCTGGACATATGAGTATACACACACTGTATATAGTATATGTACACAAATTTGACACACACTATGTATAATGTACACATTGTATGTATACTCACAATTCGAATGATTTTTCCCTCCTGAATTATGCACAAAGTAATTTCTTAAATAGGAAAATAACATCAAAAATAAAAATGTACGAGAGAGTTATACTTATACATGCAAAACACCTACATAGATGCCGGCATTCCACATCTGTCACGCCACAAAAAGTTGTTTGTGGGTGATTCAGGCTTATGTTTGTTTGAGCGTTTTTTTGCCTTTGGAAATAGAGGATTTTTTTTTGTGACACTTGCATAAATATTTTTTGGGGAACTGTATTTTTGTAATGTTTTAAAAAGCTTTAGGATATTCACTTCTCCGTTTGAAAACTCTGTTTTCTCAAACAATTGTTTTAAATCTCACTTCTAGAAAAGGTGGAGGATACCCAAATGAAGCCTTAAGGAGTTTTATATATAGACAAAAGTCACAAAACAACAATATTTACGCTGTTTAACCTTCAAATGTTCAGATGATCTATTTTGTACATATATGAGCTCAAGAATATATGGCACAACTTTACTTGAACCATACATATAAATGCATGCGCATGGATTATAAGGACTTCATTCTGATATATATAAACTAACATAGACATTATACTCACCTCATATTAGGGGTGTCAATATTTGACCCGACCTGAAAATTCGACCCGAACCCGAACCGGATCGGGTTCGGGTTAGGGATTTCGACCCGTTTATAAAACCGAGTCGGGTTCGAGTTGACCCGGAAACCCGAAATCAACTCGGTTTGACCCGTTTTTAATTAATTTAGGAGGGTTTTAATGGATTTTTATGAAATAAGTAAATGATATTTTAAAAAATTATAAACATTATTGCCCAAATTAAATTAATCTTTATTTATTTTAAATTAATTGAAGTAAAGCTTACCTTAATTTGATTTAGATTTAAATAAATTGAATTAAAAAAAAATTAATAAAATATACCTGAATCAGGTCGGATTCGGGTTGACCCGGACCCAAAGCGGGTCGTGTTCGGGTTCGGAAAACCGACCGGTTTGCAAAAACAGGACAGGTTGAACAGTGTCAGATCAATTTCGGGTTGGACCCGAACCCGACCCGTGACCCGGTTTTGACAGCTCTACCTAAGACTAAATATAGTAATATAATTAGCATACCCTGACCCATTTTTTCCAACAAAAATATCACCGAGCATATGTAGAGGCTCATTTAGGGATTAAAATTTACATGAGACGAAAGTTCAAGAAGACTCCCATAAATCCTCGTTGTTCTCCTCTTCTCATTTCATAATCATTATTAAGGCTATATTAAGCTCACTAGACTTTTTCCTCATCAGTAGGAATAGCCTTTGGTCCATCTCAAAGTTGGTTGCATTGGAGGATCCCCCTTAAGCAACATTAGAAGGCTACCGATCGAATGAAACATAAATTTCTCTGCAACCAAAGAAAAGAGTGGGTGGGCATTGCTACAGAGGAAGATGTTCCATAAGCATGAGCTTTTCACATACCCTCTTATTTATAAATAATTGTTCAGTAAATTCTATTCCTACATCTCTAAGGGCTTTTTTTATGGTGAAATTTTGGCAGAAAGTCATTAAAGTTAGATGTGAGTCCCCGTCTTTCCTTTCCTTAGACTTAGAGTTAAATCAAAATTCTAATCCATTAGGAATAGGTATGAGTCCCGGTGCTTCCTATCTCTTAGTAACATGACTGAATTAGTGTTGAATTAAGCATGTTGGGCCCCTTCACTACTTAGTCATCTTTAGTGTTTTAAGGTTAGGTGGGAGTCCCCGTGCTTCCTTTCCTTAGAACTAGAGATAAATCAAAATTCTTGTCTTTTAGGAATATGTGTGAGTCCTCGTGCTTCCCACCTGTCGAAAATCAAAACCAAAATCTGTCCAATATCATGTAGTACAATTTTTTGAAAAAAAAATGATATAACTCTTAGAATTATTTATAAACATGCCATAAGATTTTGAAAAATAATCCAAAATACCTTTTAGTTTTTTATTTAAAATAGAAGCTTTCTCAAAAATAAAAACATCATCACCATATAATAAATGAGAAATAAAAGTCTCATCCGAATTAATCCCCTCAAAATTCACATTCTACGACTTATCTTATAATAAATTAGATAATTCATTTATTACAATACAAAATTGATATATCATCAAAAAATTATCTTGATCGGGCATGAATCTCAAAGCAAAATTAAATCAAAGATCATCTTAGCTTCTTCGGCAAACTTATAGACGAGCTGAACGTCTCAAAAATAAGAACCCGACAACACCAAATTCGACCCAATCCGAGCTCAAATTGGCCCAAATCAAAGGCCCGAAGCACATTTAGAATGTTCAAAACCATAATTTGGATTATCAAACAGTTTCCAAACATGACATGTTTATAATCGAATCAAGCGGCTCAACGAGACGAATCCAACGGGCTTAAAATCGCCAAATTCTGATATCATTGAGACATTCAAATGCTCAATAAATAGTCTATGATCAAAAGATTCAACATCGGTTGTCAATTCAAACTACTCACGATTTACCCTTAATCTTCCTGCTATTTTCTAGCCATGCCACTCTCAGAAAACTATAAATAGACCCTTCATTTCTCATAGAAGGAAACATCAAAAGGGGGAGGAAGAAAGAGACCTAAGTATGAAGAGAATGAAGAAAAGAAATATAAGGAAGAGACTCCTCCTCAAACATCGTCGGACATTCACCCGCTAGCTGACCGACGTCGGAGTTTTATCTGATCGCCAACTGACGTCGAAATTAAGCAAGGAAACAAAAAGAAAATGAAGAGACTACTCCTCGACCACCAACGGACTTTCACCCCGCTGCAGACTAACGTCGGAGTTCTGCCCATCCACCGATAGTCATTGGATTTCTACCCGACCCCATACTTCTATCTGACGCTAAACTTCTGTCCATCAATAGACTTCTACCCGACATCAGACTTCCACCTGTCACCGGATTCCTATCCAATGCTGGATTTCCACCCATCACTGGACTTCAGTTGGACTTCTACCCGACGCCAGACTTCTGCCCGTCGCCGGACATTCGTCGGACTTCTATCCAATACTGCACTTCTGCCTGACGCCGTCGTTTCTACCTTTGTCGCCAGACAACTGTCTTTATGACCTCCGTCGCCCGCCAACTATGGTTCTTCCGACTTATGTCGCCCACCGACTACAGTCCTTTCAACCTTTGTCGCCCATCAACTATGACCTTTCCGATCAAGCAAACACATTAACAGTGATTCTTCCTGTTTTCACCACATAACACACTTTCTATGATGTATATTTGTTACATCAAGTCCAAGCCTTCCCCCCAATAAAGTGCCTAATTTGTAACCAACTGCAAATACTAGTAGACTCATTCAAATTGGGCTATGCTCCATAATTTTTACCTCTTTTCAAGGGTTTCACGTAAAAATCATGATGTCTCTTGTGAATACTGCACCCTCTCTCTCTTAACTGATTGTGTGCTGGATCTTCGTATAAAGCTAAGACGTTAAACTTTATATTTCTCTACCGCCACGAATATTCCATGATGCAACAAAAATAAATAAGGAAAAAGAGGACAATCTTAACAAAGATAAAAGAAGGGCTAAAAAAATCATTAAGATAACCATTAAACACTATAGAAAAAAAACGTCTTTAATACATTATTTAATTCAAGAATTAGAAATCTGTGAAAATCCTTGGCCATTCAATTTAGCAGAAAATCTCTTAAAACTATATAAAAAAACTTATTAATATACAATTTAGCACACAAAAATTTCTCTCTATTTGAACTATTAAAAATTCTCTTAAAATTCAAGGAGACAATTACCTATTCGGGCCCACCATGTTCGCCTTCGTGAAAACAACGCAAGCAATCAAAGCCGCGTCAAAGAAACGAACGTCGGATTCGCTCACCACGTGTACGGGTTGTTTCAATTCTAAAACACAGGCGGGAATAAATCGGACGGCCAAGAGAGTCGCGTGATTTGAAAGCCATATGACAGACCACGCTCTTCCCAAATAAATAACCCGCAGCTCTTCTCTGAGAACCAAACCCTCGCAATCCTTTCCAAAACTCTCGCGAAGAAGGAAACCAATGGTGCAGCTCTTTTTTGTTTTTTGTTTTTTGTTTTTTTTTTTGAATTAATAACTTAAGTTTTAGGTTTTGGCTTAGCATCACCAATCGCTCAATTTCTGTGGTATTTTTAATTTTATTTTTTAATATTTTTCTTCCATTGCAGGCGCTCCCGAACCAGCAGCAGGTGAATTACCCTAACTTCAAGCTTGTCATCGTAGGTGATGGCGGGACAGGTGACGATACATTTGTTACCTAACTCTTCATTCTCGGATTTTATAGAAATTCTCGTTTTTTTCCGCTTTATAAGGTTTTATGTTGGATCTCTTACAGGGAAGACCACCTTTGTGAAGAGGCATCTGACTGGGGAGTTTGAGAAGAAATATGAACGTATGAATTATATTATTAGATGATATTGTTTTATCGTCTTTACTTCTGCAAGCTGATCTGTTTTTGTGGGGGATCGTTCAGCTACCATTGGTGTTGAGGTTCATCCTTTGGATTTCCACACCAATTGCGGGAAGATCAGGTTCTATTGCTGGGATACGGCGGGGCAGGAGAAGTTTGGAGGGCTTAGAGATGGATATTAGTGAGTTTCAGTTCTTAAAAATTAATTTGGCATTTATTTTTATTATAATTGATTTGTTGTCAAATTTATCCAGAGGTATTATTCTATCCAAGTGTGTTTAACCTGGTAGCGATATCTGGAATAAGGAGGTTTAGAGTATATTATTAAATTTTAGAAGACGTAATTGAAATCTAAAGATCTCGCTATTTCAACTTGATTTCTGTATGTCACTGGTTTCCGACAAACATGTAAATAACATGATATTTTATTGCAATGAATATGGAAGCCTCTGAATACATATAAAATTCTGGGACTGAAAAGTGGAAGCTTTGCGTCTTTAATCCTTCAATTTTGATATTCCTTGTTTTAGGATATTTTGGTCGTGAGGTAAAATTTTCTGATAGGTATTTGATGTATTATTGTCACATCAAACGTTATGTAAATTTGTTATTTTTACTTCGTTTATGGTGGTTTTATGTCCAGTGGTTACTTTATAAACTAACATTACTAGCATAAAAGATCTAAAATAATAAAACTTGACGTTTAGTTAGGGCATCTCCAACCAAAAATCTCGTTTATCACTCCAAAATGCAATGAAACTAAAAAATGGCGTGATTAATCTTCAATCAAACTCCATTTAGCGCGCACCCATTGCAGAAGGTAACCGTCTTTCTCCTCTTTCACGTGTTTCTTCGGTAATCCGGCAGAGACAAAAAAATAATGTAGGTAAACAGTGCAACGCCAATATTGTGGCGTCGCACTGTTCACCGACAACCAAATAACGGAAGTTTTGCCATTCGGCTGGAACTCGTGAGCGATGCCATTCATGTGTTTGAAGTTCAGTTAGAGAATGCCTTAGTTCACTTATGCATTTCTAGCTCATGCCTGTTTGTTATGCCATTTCTAATCTCGTTGTTCATTAATAAAAAGGTTTCAATCAATAGAGATAGACAAAGAAAGTTCAAGTAATTTTATGCCATATGATATTAAACAAAGTAGTTTGAAGTTGAATTTAAGCACACAAAATGGATAGAGGGTAGTTGTTATAATGATAAAATACTCCCACTAATAAATAATCTCATTTGTGAATAAAAACCACTATCAATAATTAATCTACATTGAATTAGTATTGAGTAGATATGACATTCTTTATACTGCCACTATCAATAATTAAGCATTAAGGTTTTTGAAAAGTGAACCTCTTTTTTGTCAAAGCTTCAGGTATGATATGATTACTCTTGAGCTTGACTCTATATTTAACTTCATTGGAATAAAATCATTGATGAGGATAATAAATTCAATACGAATAAGCATTGTAAATGCTCTATGTTTTTCTCACAAGACACATCATGATCTTCTCTTGTAAATGACATTCAATTTTCAAGATTAGTTTGAACTATTATATACATGTATTTTATTTTTATTTGCATTGGACCTGCAGTTTTAGTGTTATGGTATTTTAAGTAAACAAATGTGATCTTGAGTTCTTCATTTTATTTTATTTTATTTGTTTGAATATCAATATTCCGCCTATCATTTTGTTTTGCATAACTAATTATGTAAATTATTTATCTTCCATCTTCAGTATCCATGGACAATGCGCCATTATTATGTTTGATCCTTATTTATATAATCTTACTAAAATTCACAAATTATTTTATTTAAAATTTGATTATTACAAAACACATTGCAGGGATCCAAATCTTCACTTTGTTGAGTCTCCAGCCCTTGCTCCTCCTGAAGTCCATATTGATCTTGCTCAACAACAACTGTAAGTCAAAACATCTCAGTGATTAAATATTTTAGATAATTTTTTTAGTAATTGTTCTGCAATTTGTGTGACAGCCATGAGAAAGAGCTTATTGATGCAGCTGCTCAACCTCTACCCGATGATGATGATGAATCATTTGATTAAATGAAACTTCTCTACCCTATGTAAGGTTATAATAGATGATATATATGCATCAATTATGATCTTTTAGGTTTTGCAGCGTTTAATAGAGACATATTTGCAGTTGGCTACCGCTTTTTTTTTCAGCTCATTTGTAATTCAGATTAGTGGTTTTGAATGAGAACTGTTGTTCTAAAAACATTTCAGCATTCATATCTTTAGAATGAACGGGTTTTGTCCTGATGTTTATGTGCCCCTACATATATGTGAGAATTCTTATTAATAAATGTTGGCATCAAAATATAACCATATAGTCGAATTTAGAATAAGAATACAAAATCCACATATTTTTAGATGACAGGTTGTAGTCCACTAGTTATTTACAATATATGTTCTAGATCGACAGAGCAGGCTAAATTTGAGTCCTACAAGATTTCCCATTTGAAATTTCCTACTCGATGAGTCGGTCCTTCACACTCGGCCTAGCCTGACCTGACCTGTTAATGAAGACGTTGACCTTCGTCCTCGTTAAGAACTATTTTTCCATCAAAGAAAATGTTGAAATGATTTGTTACACCATCATATATATCCTACTTCTCCCAAAGTTTACAAGACGGTGATACTGAGGTGATATGGATGATAGAACAGTATAATGGATGTCAGTAGATTTAAGTTGTGATTACAGGTCTTAGAAAGTTTGGAGCATTGTCCTGGCATCAACAGGGCTATTAATGTTGTTTCAAACAACATTGATTTTCAAAGCTTAAATACTTATCATCTTATAGCTGAAGTTGGTGATGATAAAGCATTATAAGTCGTATGCTTTCATTATGCTATCAGTTTCAAACAGCTTCTACGATCCACCTTCGTTACTAATAACTTTGGGGTCAAGATCATGGCTAGTGATAAGTCTAGAGTTATAGCTTGCATCAAGGGTGTTCAACTGATTTGGAAATAAACTATGTTCAGCTGTTCATTTATATATTTGACTTCTTTACCGTATAAATGGTCAAAAAGTAATTCTCATTTGAAATAAAGAATCATGCTTAGACAATAATATGATTGAATCTTTCAACTATTGGATTAGTACAGCAAGATGCAAACTTGTGGTTAACCTCGTTAATATGATTAGGGGCATGATAATGGAACAAAGGTTCAAGTGGAAACTTATTGCAAGCGGATAGAGAGGAGAACTAGTCCCATATGATGAGGAGTGTGTTATTGTAGCTACAACACCGAAGGAGTTAAATATGATTAGGTAGTCAACATCTTCTAAGTTCGAGGTTGAAGCCTGGAAAGAGAGATGTGAGGTGAATATTGATGCTAGAGAATGCACTTATAAACTTTGGCAAATGAGTGGTCAACCGTGCATTCACACAACTGCAATAATTGGTAACAAGGAACATTCACTTTGGAATGTTTATATTGACCATTTCTATCATGTTAGTAGGTATAAAAGTTTTTTTTTAGTTAATAATTAATGACTTCATGCTATTCTTGGTTGACAAAATTAAGTTAATTTCAAGTATCAACAAGCTTACGAATGTGATCCGTCAAAAAAAAAAAATAAAAAAACAAGCTTACGAATGTGCAATAGCAACGCCAAAAGTCAATGGTATTTTGCTAAAGATAAAGTCCAAATTGGTGTGCCCAAAATTTTGAGACCTAGAGGACGTCCCAATTAAAGAAGATTATTCAAAAAATTTCTAGAGCTAAATTCCAACAAAAGGAAGTGAACATAAATACGGCCTTTGTGGACTTTCAAGACACCACAAAATGACTTGCAAAAATCCAATAAGATAACCTACTCATCAAATAAATATTAGAGTATTACAACATTTTTTGGGAAATATATTGCCAATCTTTTTGGGAATTATTTTGTTGATTTAGGGTGAACAATTTTGTTGATATGGTCTGTTGGAAAATATTTTGTAAGTGCTAATTCGTTTGTACAAACAATTACGATTGATGAATTCATTATGTTAGCACAACCATTACCTCAATTAGTTTTTAAAAATTCCTTTTTGGATCATAGCTCGGCAGCTTGCACTTCTCAAACCAATTTACAAGAAAACTCCTCACAGTAAGAGCACATATTGTTGGCTTCAAATAATCAAATTGGGGTGATGGTAAGGATGTCAATTTTGGGTCACGGGTCGGGTTCGGGTCGATCTTGAAATTGATCCGGCACTATTCGGGTCAACCCGAACTCGACCCGTTTTTGCGAAAGTGTCATTTTTTCAAACCGAACCCAACTTGCTTCGGGTTCGGGTCAACCCGACACGACCCAAATGACTCGGTGCCAACAAAAAATTGGTAATTTTTTTGTCAAAAATGGATCAATCTCTGCTTTTTGGGTCAAAACGGGTCAATCTCAAGTTGTCGAGTCAAAAATGGATCAATTTTGAGTTAATTTTGGATCAAAGGGTCCTAACCTGAATTTTTTGATCGAGTTTGAGTCGGGTTTTTGGGTCGTGTCAAATATTGGCACCTCTAGATGATGGGGTGGGGGTCGATCTTGAAATTGATCCGGCACTATTCGGGTCAACCCGAACTCGACCCGTTTTTGCGAAAGTGTCATTTTTTCAAACCGAACCCAACTTGCTTCGGGTTTGGGTCAACCCGACACGACCCAAATGACTCGGTGCTAACAAAAAATTGCTAATTTTTTTTGTCAAAAATGGATCAATCTCTGCTTTTTGTGTCAAAACGGGTCAATCTTAAGTTGTCGGGTCAAAAATGGGTCAATTTTGGGTTAATTTTGGGTCAAAGGGTCACAACCCGAATCCGACCCATTTCGGGTTCGGGATCCTAACCTGGATTTTTTGATCGAGTTTGAGTCAGGTTTTCGGGTCGTGTCAAATATTGGCACCTCTAGATGATGGGGTGGGGGTGCAGTAGAAGAAACCAATAACATTAAGTAATAATGTGCAAAATGTTTTCAGCAAGAAACCATGAGTCAAGCAAGCAACTTGGAATGGAGAATAAATCAAAACTTATATTAATGCACTCTTTCAAATACAGCATAATTGTCAATAAATTAACACTTACAAAAAGAGATTACCAATACATAAATTTTACTTTCAAATCCAACTGCTAGATTGTCTCTGGTATTGAATGATTACCAATAAGTAACATTGACAAAATAAGAACACTAACAACTAGACGATTGTAATTTGAATCAACTCATATTTGACCGACTTAAAATTTTCTGAAGTCATCTCCATCATGACTCATGTTCGAAGACGATTGATTGGTTTCATCAATCCACCTAGAAAACTTTGGATCCTATTTCAAGGGCAATGATAACATCTTCTACCATGATTTTCACTTCGATACATTTTAAATATCATACATTGCAAGTTCTCAATTTCTTCGATCTGATAGAATTCATCTGATTACTTAATAACAAAAGAAATATTACTTAAAAACAAAATAAATATTACCCACCATATTATTATGAACAAAACATTTAAGATAAAATGCTAATTGAAACCAACAAGCACAAAGATTTAGGGCAAGATGAGTTCTCACCGAGAAGGGCAAGTTCTCACTGGAAGAAGAACGACTAAGCAGAAAAAAATTTTGGGCATGAGTCATACCAACTGAACTTCCAAAACTCGAGCAATGGCATGATGAAGGAGCAACAGTAGTAGAATAAAGTTTATGGCATGAGAAATAGAGTCTGACAGGAGTTCTCACGCGCACACACACACAAGGAGCTCTCATGGAGACAAAACGGAGTGGTAAAAATGAGATAATAGGGAAATTATAGTTTTTTGTTTTTTTTTTAGGGAATTTTTAATTATGCAATTTGTATTTTAAGAGTTTTAAAAGTTAAATATGTAAATAAACAAGTTTGCAATGTTATGTATGTAAATCCCCCCTATAAATTAATATTCTTTCTTCAATCGCAAGAAATTTAGTGTGTTAATTTCATCCTTTAATTTTTTTTACTAATTAATTTGAAATCATAATTAAGTAATGAATATAAATAGCTTTTTATCGTACAGAAGTTGTTTTTAAGTGGCGAGCAATTAATCATCTGCTTTTTAGTTTAGAATTACACATAGTTTGTGTTTTAAATTTCATAATAAGAGAGGAATTATTAGGGGCTGTTTCCTTAGGAGTAAAGTGAGTTTAAAATATTACTTTTATAGGGATTTTAAAAGTATTGGTGATTGATTTGATATTTTAAATTTTATGTAAGTTTTAAAAATCCCGCTTAATTTTTAAAAATCCAACCTAATTTTTAAAATCCCGCCTAAATTTAAAAATTCCCGCCCATGGCTGTTGAGGCGGCTCGAGCTCGTTTACAGTTAGACGAGCTCGAGCTCGCTTTCCATGTAATGAGCCGAGCTCGATAAGGGTCTAAACTCGACTCGACTCGACTCGTTTACATCCCTAGGCACCTCCCTCTCGATACAAATATATTTATATTTTTATCATCTTAGTACTTTATTTAATATTTTAATGTAAGGGCATCTCCAACCAAAAATACAATAACACTAAAAAATGCAGTAATTTATTCAAAAAAAAAAAAAAAAACCTCCAATTTTAATTAAAAAAAATACTTTGTATATATTCAAAAAATTGACGTCGATGCCCGAATTTTGATGTACAATTTAGCATTCGAAGGGAGCGAACGGCAGATGGCATATCACCGTATGCAGTTTGGTTGGAGATGATCTAATCTTAAGTTAAGAAGAAATCTTAGCACGATGGGGTAAAACACACCCATTAGAGATAAGCAATATCATTAAGTACAAAAGCTAATGAAGTCCATATGTTAGTTATGTAGGAAAAAAGTTGCAAGAAATTATGTGGCTTCATATAGTTGTTTTCATTAAGGATCTACAATCTCGTATGAATCAGAAGATACAAGCATGCGTCGATGCAATAATCCAACAAGAGATGAGTCAGTGATATTCAAACAAAATAAGAAGATGAGGGCAGAACTGAGATTGAAGAAGCAAGGATCGATGGGAGTGAACAAGATCATAGAGAAGGGGGGATTGAATGTTTGTTTTAAATATTGTATGAAATATATTATATTTGGTGTATAACATGTAGATGATTAACTCATTATAAATACAACTAAAAAATACATCAGATTACCAACAAAAAATAATGCCAATAACTCAATCATCCAGTGAAAAATTCATCTATATTTATCAAAGGAATAATTGTCGTTATTTCTGATGAATATTTCTTCATAAAACAGATTACTCATTATTGTGTCTTGGAATATTCACCGCGACAGAAAAATATAAAGTTTTGCATCTTAACTTTTTATGAAGATCCAACACACAATCAGATAAAAGAGAGGGACGTAGCGTTCATAAGAACACCAAAGTTTATGTGGAAACCCCTAAAAAAAAATAAATCACAATGCATGGCCCAGTTTGAATGAATCCATTAGTGTTTGCAGTCGATTACAAATGAGGTCCTTCCTTGGGGTAAAAATGGGAAAAATCAATATTGACATGTTTGTTTGGTCAGCAGGACTACAGTCAGCGGGCGATGGAGATCATAAAGACCGTAGTCAGGTGAAGATAGTCGGAAGGACCATAGTTGGCAGGCAACGGAGGTCGGAAAGACCAAAATCGGGTAACGGTGACAGGAAGGACCGTAGTCAACGAGCAACGGAGGTCGAAAAAATCGTAGTCAGTGATAGTCAGAAGGACTATAGTCGGTGTATGGGAGGAAGTCCGACAGGCCATAGTTGGTGACGATCGATTGTCGGGCAAGAGTCCGCAAAGTCTGACGATAGTTGTTGGTCAGGCGGAAGTCCGACAAAAATCGGTGATTGGGAGGAAGTCTGGTGACAGTTAGTGGCCGAGCGAAAGTCCGGTGACACTTGATGGTTGGGAGAAAGTCGGTGGTTGGGAGGAAGTCCGACGACAGTCGGTGGCTAGGCGGTGGTCGAGGAGAAGCTTGGTGCAAGAGAGATCTCGGATTTCTCTTCCTCTCCTCTCTTCTTTCCTTCCTCCCTATTCCTCCCTCCTTGCTTCCTCCTCTCCCTTCTCTTCCTTACTTCGGCCCCTCCCCCCAATGAAGAATGAGGGATCTATTTATAATTTTTTGTGAGTAACATGACAAGTAAATATGAGGGAAAACAAGAGTATGTTGAGACTTGGGAGTGATTTGAATGGACGGCCGATATTGATCCCCTTGCTCGTGGACCGTTTAATGGGCATTTGAAAGTCTTAAAAATATCATAATTCAGTGATCTTGGGCTCATTGGATTCATCTCGTCGAGCCGCTCGATTTACTATAAGCATGTCACATTTTGAAATTGTTTGGTAATCCAAATTATGATTTGAACATTCCAAAGGCGCTTTGAGTCTCTGATTTGGACCTATTTGGGCTAATACTGGGTCGAATTTAGTATCGTTGGATTAATCTTTTCGAGACGTTCAGTTCGACTATAAGTTTTCTGAAATCGGAAATTTACCAGTAATTACTGGCAAATCATAATCCATCATAAAAGCCTCTTCCAATAGATTTAACCAACATCTATTTTGGACGAGTTCTTTATCCAACAGACAATTTTCTATCAAAAAACTGTCATAAAAAACCTACTTTCGTAGATAAAAAATCCTTTGAAATTTTGTTCCGGGGTGTTCTACAGACTGCAGTTCACATTTAACAAAATCAACAACTCACCCGTCTCTACTTCTCCGTCATTTCGGCCAAACCATCCTAATAGCTTTGTTACAATGTCCTGTAAGCTCTCTTATTCTCTACAGAGCCATCACCTAATCAACTTCTTAAGCAATTCCTTCAAGACAGCTTCAAACAAAATTTATAATCCTTCACTGTTCAGGACACAACTTTGCGAATTGCGACCCTTACATCATAAAAACAGGCTAAATATTGCTCTAATTATCATGATACTTATGATCCCTACTTTTTAACACCTTGAGAAAGTAAATGATCTTACTCATAGCACGATGATCATATATATTCTCAACATTAATACCATGACTCTCATAGACCATATCAAGACAATCATACAAAATCTCATCAATCATATCATGATGTCATGCCAATTGTCATCTCCAATATAAAACCCATATGAAGCCAGGCATCTTTGATTGATCTTCTTCTTCAAAATCCCATCAAGATCTAAAGGTTTAGGGATTATTTAAAGCTAAAAACAATTGATATCATGAGAAAAATGAAAATTAAAAAAGCTCAAATTGAGTTTTTTTTTTTCCAGATACTCTAATGCACGAGGAGCGTTCAACCACTATTGTTAAACCTAGGGGTGCCAATATTTGACACGACACGAAAACGCGACTCGAACCCGATCCGAAAATTTCTAGTTTAACCTAACCCGATTTCAAAATGGGTCGGGTTTGAGTTCCAAAATTCGACCCGTTCGAAAAACAGGTCGAGTTCGGGTTGATCCGACGAGTTGTCGGGTTAACCCACAAACCCATTTAAAATGAGCTACCCGCAAACTTGCCTCGGCTACCCGCAAACCAGCCCCAGCTGCCCGCGCACCGCCCGTGGCTACCTGCTCCCTGCCAGCCCGCCGCCCGAGCGCCCAAGGTTGCTCGCGCCCGCGCATCTGCCCGCAAGCACATGCGCCTACTCGCTCGCCCGCGCGCACCCGTCATCCGCATGTTCCGCCGTCCCGTGTCGTGTCGGGTCATCTCGGCAACCCGATGGGTCAGGTTTGGGTCCATATTTCCGACCCGTTTACATACTCGGGTCGGATTAGTGTTGACCCGTTTGAACCCGAGTCAATTCCGGGTTCAACCCGAAACCCGGTTTTAACACCCCTAATTAAACCATAACTTCTACAAATAAAGATACAAGTTATTACACAATTATCACCAACTAATCTAGACTTTTCACAACTTCCATGAAATGGTCTTATTGGTGCTCATATATAGCGGCATCATATAGCAAGATGTTACTCAATTTCGTGTATTAATATAATACTCACTTCTTCATTCATGCAGGTTGTTTTTATACTGCACCTCTATCATAGTCAGAATATTTTGGGTTTCTAACTAATCTAATTCATGATGTATATCAATATTTATGTTCAAAACCTCAAGATTTTTCACAGATTGTTCAATCATTAATAATCCCATAAGTTCTTAAGGATGACGCGTAAGGTATTGTTCGCCGGAGAAGTAGCCGGAGGAGGGTACGTTGATGGTCGGCTGACGAGTTGCCAATGTTCCGTTGGTCCGTCTCGACGAGATGATAGAGTATGCGATTTAGTAGCTTTCCAAGGAATCCTCGTATTCCCAATCTAGATCAAAGAAAGGGGATTGCATGTCGATTTCTCCTTAGGCGTTGTATACGAATCCGTGATTGACCTCATGATCGACCATGCACTAATGGTAGATGGGAGGAGGAAGTTTGTCTTTTCTTCTTTGCTCTAAAACTCATGAAAGAATTAGGGTATCCAAGAGAAACAAGGGGAGAGGAGGGGCCAAGGAGGAGAAGGATTTGTGAGATATGTTAGGTTTAGAGTTTGGGTGAGGGGATTATCAATAAATCTGAAGTTAATTTCAGATTTAAATAATTTGGGAGGGAATTGAATTTGAAATTTAATTTCAAATTCAAATTGGGATTAGGGATTTGAAGTAGAGAGAGGAAGCATGGGCAAGGGAGGCCGGCGGGATCTAGAGAGGGGAGGAGGGAATTTTGGGAAGGAATTAAGAGCTTCCAAAACAAGTGAGTTAATTTAGGAAGGGGAACATTAAATCAAATCTAATTTAAATCGAAATTAGATTTAGGTTTATGAACTTTCCTAAATTAGAAATTGCAATTATGAAAAGTATTTGAATTTCAAATAATTCTCAATCCTTTCCTTTATGATGAGTGGAATCATCATAATGGTGGGGGACATTAGGGTGGGCCGGCGGCAATGGGGAAGAGGGATGGCGTCGGGTAGGAGAGTTGAAGGTTGATCTGGGCTAGCTGGTGAAGGTTTGGATGTGGCGTTAGGGTTGAGGTTAGAGAGGTAAGGTGGGCCGACAGGTGGGAGAAGAGAAGGGGTTCGCGTGGTGGGGGAAAGAAGAAAGAGAATAAGTTTTGGGAGAATACCAAGAGCTCACCCGAAGGGGCTGTTGGATACTTCGTTTGAGCCTCTCCTAAGCTTCTCCTCATTCATAAGACAAATACAAAAATTTCATTTAATCATTCATCATCCTCTTACAAAGCAGTAAAGCACAAGACCTCTATATATAGGCCTCAATAATAAAGAAAAGAAGAAAGACTCAAATGCTCTTAGGGCTACAATAAGAGTTCATTGCTCATAGGGGTAAACTAGGAAAACTCAAATGCAAAATAAATAAAACATAAAATACATCAAAAGTAAAGATTCTTAATCGTAGCTGTCGATCTATGATTCCGTCGATGATACACATGTCGAAATCTTTAGCTGATGTCCTCATCACAATTTCACATCTACCATTACCAGTCACCTTCCAACTCTTCAACGATGAATTTCTTTCAGCTCGGGTGTAATGGAGAGCAAGCATGTTTGTCAAATTATTTTCCAAACTAAATTTTAAGCGAAGGTCTATTTAATTTTAACATAATTTAAATGTTTCATATTTATATAATAAGAATACATTATTGCATTTATTTCCATAAGAAAATTAATGCATTTTAGAAATGCAATATGAGCCCAATTTTATATAAGGAGCTTAATCTTGAATTACAACACTTGATTGATTGATTACTAAATAATATAATGAACTTTTGATGCCCCATTCTAGTCCCCCTCTCTGTCTCTCTTCTTGCATCTTTGTTGCTCTCTATCTTTCAGATTTTTCTTTACTATTCTTTATCTTTGTCCCCCCCCTAACAAAACTATTCAATTATAAACAATTTTACAACAAGCATTAAATAAAATTTTAGTAAACAAAACTATTCAATTACAAACAATTCTGGTCTCTCTCTCTCTCTCTCTCTCTCTCTCTCTCTCTCTCTCTTATTTTTAATAAACCTCATTAAATAAAATTTTGAATGAAGCTTTATTTTATGCTAAGATAAATAATCGAATCCAATAGCCATATTTATTTGGGCATTTAAACTGTATAGATTATTCTTTTTCAAGTATATTTGACAATAATAATAACATCAAGCCTTTGTCCCACTATGTGGGGGCGACTACATTAATCCTTATTCAAATATATTTGACAATTTCAACTAAATCATATTTTGATATAAAGAAAAAGGATTCTGAACCGTCAACTTCTCATTGGAAGGATTTAATACTGCTTGGCTTTAATATTTAACATTATTGTAACAATAACATAAACTTCACTTCACAATTCGAAATTTTTTGAAATATTGCATCTTATGAATTTGAAAAAATATCAGATAAAAACTGCGCCTAAACAAAATTGAAACAGAGCTGAAAATAGAGTTATGGTTCACCATACCAGTAACATAAAATGTTCTTCATTGTATATTCTGATCATGATCTTCCGCATGGGCTTGCCTCTCTCCATAATGAACCCATGGTAACAAAGACTCCAAGAAAACAACTGCCGCATTGCGGCCAGCAACTTCATGGGTAGCATGAGCTGTCTGTGGATTTGCATCTCCTTCATCAGCAGGATGGATCTCATCTAAATGCGGTCCGACCATAAACTGACGCAGCTCCTCAGGTGGAATCGTCGGAATTGTATCAGAAAAGTCCGAGACCAGAAGATGAGAATATCTGCCAATGACCAATAATATAATCAGCATCTTAACATGCTAAGTAGCCCTTTCAATAAGGTATTTTCAGTATTTTTTTTTTGGGCTGCTTGGTTGCAATATTAAGGCTAACAACAGTAAAAATACTTTATCCCACTGTGGGGTCGGATACATGAATCAATTTTGCCAATGCGTCATGTTAAGAATCAAATTCTCATATAAATTTAATAAAGAAATGTCATTTCTAATATTTTTGAACCAAGTCTTTTAGGTCTATGTATACATTTCTTAACATAATTCAAATCTAAAACATCTACTTTCCTAACCGGGTCATCGGAAGGCCACCGTTTAATGTAACCAAACCATCTAAGGCAACTCTCTCTAAACTTATCTTCCACTGGAGCTACTCATACCTTTTCACGTATATGCTCATTTCATATCCTATCTCTAAGAGTAAAGCCACTCATCCACCTGAGCATCCACATCTCTGCAACACTTAATATTATGCTTCTCTTTTAATGGCTAACATTCTGCACCATAAAACATTGCAAGTCTCACTATCATCTTATAGAATTTTTCCTTAAATTTGAGAGGGACTTTTCTATCACACAACAAGCCCGATGCATTCCCCTACTTTAACCATCAAACTTAAATTCTACTAATAATATCCCCATCTATTTCACCACCACTCTGAACAATAGACCCAAGATATCTAAAACGTGTAATCTCAGTAATGACTTGATGGCCCAAAGTCACAATCCATTAGATCTATTATTACTAAAATTACATTCCATATATTCAGTTTTAGATCTACTCAAAGGAAAGCCTCTAGACTCTAAAGTTAACCTCCATAATTTAAGTTTACCTTCAACTCCCTCTGATGAGGACAACAACAAAGATTTTGACGTGTTTATCAGATGAGACACCGGAGATCGGCAGCCACGATCTAGAGCCTTTACTTTTGATGCATTTTATGTATTGTTTATTCATATTTCAGTTTTTCCTATTTCAACTCCCTCTGATGAGGACAACAACAGAAGATTTTGACGTGTTTATCAGATGAGACACCGGAGATCGGCGGCCACGATCTAGAGCCTTTACTTTTGATGCATTTTATGTATTGTTTATTTATATTTCAGTTTTTCCTATTTTACCCCTGTTGGTAGTTAGTTTGGGTTGTAGCCCTGAGGGCATCTCAGTCTTTTCTTTTATGTTATCTTTTCAGGCCTATATATGAGGTCCGTAGTCTTGTATTAGGGTTAATGTTTGATTATGAAAATTCTGATTTCTTCTTGAACTTATGAGTTTTTGAGTGGTGAAGTCCCAAGGTATGGGCAAAGCAACACCCACCAGTCGGCGAAAGTGTCCCCGACTCGTGGTTCAAGTTCTTTTGCTTGCATTAAGCCGCCGGATCCCCTCCTCATTGCTTTAATCCACAGGCCACCTCCTCCCCTTGCTCCAACCGCCAAACCATCCAACCACCATCCTACCCATCGGCCCCTCACCCCATCCCCATCCATAGCCGCCGACCCAGCCCCCTCAACATCCGGCCAAGCCTATTTCCCAAGTTCAACCGTCGACCACCCCACCTCCTTTTCCCCCTTAATGGTGACTTCAATCATCATTATTAATTACCTAAATTATTTGGACAAGAATCAATTCAATTTTTTTTTTAATTCAAATTTGAATTTCAAAATACCTTCCTAAATTAACTAAATCTAAATTAGGAAAGTTCCTAAATTTGAATCTACTTTAATTTTAAATTAGATTGGATTTAATTATCCTTTTCCTAAATAAGACCTATGAATTAGGAAGCATTAAATTCCCTCCAAGTCCTCTCATTTTCCCCATGCATGCTGCCAGCCCCCTCCTAGCCTCTCCTCTTTCCACCTCAATTTCCCTCCACTTGAATTTAAACTTCAAATTTCAAATTTCAAATTCCAAATCTCCTTTCCTGTTTTACTAAATCTGAAATTAATTTCATATTTTTTTACCTTACCCTATTGGAAACCCTAACCCTATTTTCACAAAACAAGTTCCTTCCCCTCCTAAGCCGCCCCTCCCTCTCTCTTCTTTCCTCTTGAATTTTATCCCGTCATGAATAGTATTCCAACTTCCAAGAGAAGGAGAAAACACACATCCTCTCCCACTCTTGCAAGTGAATGGTCGATCCTGAAGTAGACCATAGCTTCACATACAATTCTCAAGCGCGGATAGATGTTCTTGAATAGCCGTTCTTCGACCCCGACTGGGAGATAGAAAATATTGTCGACGATTACGTCGACCGTATCCTATTCCACTTAGCTGAGACTATCGACGAACAACTATCCTCCGGACAGTGACAAACCATCGGACATCCACCCACGTATCCTCCTCCGTCTACCTTCCCGTGGATCAAGACCCTTGGTGTTCTATCACTTTTGGTGGCATCTCTAAGATTACTGATATATTCTTTCCGCTAAATCCCTTCAAAGAGCGCGAGTGAGGGAAACTCGATGTGATTTTTCTAGATATTATTATGTGGTGGATATAAAAGTTTACAGCATTTAAGTTTATGTTTATGTTTGAAGTTATTTTAAGTTCTTGTTCTTCTATTGTGTAACCAATTACTGTAACAATTTTGATATCCTTAAATTCTTAAACCCCATCTGGTGAAAAATTAGTTTATTGCTACTACGCTTATATCAATTTTATTAATTTCTAAGCAATTCCTAGTTTGTTTCACATCACCCTCTTTAGTCTTATCAACAAGAAGAATATCATCAGTAAAAAACATACACCAAGGTATAACCTCTTGCAAATGTCTAGTGAGAACATCCATAACTAAAGCAAAAAAGATATGGGCATAAGGTTAATCCTTGATGTAATCCAAATAACAACAACAACATCAAGCCTTTATCCCACTACGTGGGGTCGGCTACATGAATCTTTTTTCTCCATTGTGTCCTATTAAAAGTCAAATTCTCGTTTAAATCTAATAAAGAAAGGTCATTCCTAATATTTTGTATCCAAGTCTTTTTAGGTCTACCCCTACCTTTCTTAACACAAGTCAAATCTAATACCTCTACTCTCCTAACCGGGTCATCGGAAGGTCGCCTTTTTATGTGAGCAAGCCATCTAATTCTCTTTTAATGGCCAACATTCGGCACCATAAAGCATTGCAGGCCTTACTATCATCTTATAGAATTTTCCCTTAAGTTTGAGGGGTACATTTCTATCACATAACAAGCCCGATGCATTCCTCCACTTCAACCATCCAATTTGAATTCTGCTGATAATATCCCCATCTATTTCACCATCACTCTGAACAATAGATTCAAGATATCTAAAACGTGTACTCTTATTAATGACTTGATCGCCCAAAGTCACAATCCCTTCAGTAGGTCTATTACTACTAAAATTACACTCCATATATTCTGTTTTAGATCTACTCAAGCGAAAACCTTTAGACTCTAAGGTTGACCTCCATAATTCAAGTTTACCTTCAACTCCCTCTCTAGTCTTATCAACAAGAAGAATATCATCAGCAAAAAGCATACACCAAGGTACATCCTCTTGCAAATGTCTAGTGAGAACATCCATGACTAAAGTAAAAAGATATGGGCTTAAGGCTGATCCTTGATGTAACCCAACCGAAATAGGGAAATACTTGGTCAATCCACCTTGTGTTTGAACACATGTAATAGCTCCTGCATACATATCTTTAATGATTTGAATATAAGCATTATTGACTCCTTTCTTTTCAAGAACTCTCCATAGCACTTCTCTTGGAACTTTATCATATGCTTTTTCTAAATCAATAAATATCATATGTAGATCCTCCTTATTTTCTCTATATTTCTCCATCAAACCTCTTAATAAATGTATGGCTTCCATAGTCGACCTACCCGGCATGAATCCAAATTGATTTTGAGAAACATTAGTATCACGCCGCAACCTATGCTCCATAACTCGCTCCCATAGTTTTAAAGTATGACACATTAACTTAATACCTCTATAATTCGCACAATCTTGTGCATCACCTTTATTCTTAAAAATAGGAATTAACATACTCATTCTCCACTCATCTGGCATCTTTTTAGTCTTCAAAATAGTATTAAAAAGTTTAGTAAGCCATGAAATTCCTTCATCTCCTAAGCATTTCCACACCTCTATTGGGATATCATCAGGTCCAACAGCTTTTCCACCCTTCATTTTCTTTAAAGCCTCTCTAACTTCAGTTTTACTAATACGCCGATAAAAACATAAATCTTTATTTTCATCTAGGGTGCTAAGGTCACTATAGTCAATCTTATTTTCACAATCTTCATTAAAAAGTTTAGCAAAATATCTCATCCATCTTTGTTGAATATCATCTTCTAAGAAAAGTATTTTTTGATCTTCATCTTTAATACACTTCACTTGAACTAAATCCTTACTACTCCTATCTCTTTGTTTGGCTAACTTATACATATATCTTTCTCCTTCTTTAGTATCTAATCTATTATATAAATCACTAAAAGCTAATGTCTTTGCATCGCATATGGCTTTCTTAGCATCCTTACGAGCAACTTTATATATTTCCCAATTATCGGAATTTTTAAAATTAAACCAATTTTTATAACAAAGCTTCTTATTTTTAATTTTTTCTTGCACATTAGGATTCCACCACCAACTATTTTTACTATTGGGAGCTTTTCCCTTTGATACTCCAAGGACATCTTTTGCAATATTCTTAATATCAGTAGCCACTTTTTCCCACATAATATTAGCATCCTCATGCACAGACAAAATCTTAAGATCTAAAATCTTATTTCCAAAAATATTTTTGTTAATATTCTTTAAATGCCCCCATTTAATCCTAGAAAATTGTTTTACTTTATTTTTTATTTTATGCCCCTTTATCTTAAAGTCCAAAACTAATAATCGATGTTGGGTACATAAATTTTCACTCGGAATAACTTTACAATCTTTGCAATCTAAACGATTTAATTTTCTAATAAGAAAATAGTCAATCTGGGTTGTATTATATCCATTTTTATAAGTGATGAGATGCTCATTCCTTTTCTTAAATAAGGTATTAGCAATTGAAAAATCATAAGCTAAACAAAAATCCAATATGGTCTTGCCACCTTCATTCGTCGTTCCAAATCCATGGCCATCATGAATGCTTTTAAAATCATCTACCTCTCTACCAACATGTTCATTTAAATCTCCTCCAATAAAAACTCTTTCTTCAAGAGGTATATTTTGTATTAATTCTTCTAAGTCATTCCAAAAATTTAATTTAGAACTCATATCCAAACCTACTTGTGGAGCATAAGCACTTATAATATTAATAATCTTATCATCAACAACAATCTTTAAAGCTATAATTCTATCTCCAATCCTATTAATTTTTATAACATTATCCTTTAAACTCTTATCTATAATAACACCTACACCATTTCTAGTACGACTCCTACCCGAATACCAAAGTTTAAATCCAAAACTATCAATTTCCTTTGCTCTATCTCCAACCCATTTAGTTTCCTGAATGCACAAAATATTTAACTTCCTATGAATCATAATATATATTAATTCCATTAATTTTCCTGTAAGGGAACATGTATTCCAAGTTCCTATCCTAATTTTAGTTTTATGGACTAGCTTCTTTGTCCACATCCGTCCTTGATGTGGGAACCCTTGCCTATTTAACACTGCACCCGGGCAAACCAATCATGGATTTATTGGTGCTGCACTTTTTTTCTTAACAGGAACAAGTTGTGATAGAATATGTTTTGTTTATCTCGAAGAGATGGGGGGGGGGGATATATATCCTAATGCCAAAAATCTTTACCATGTTTAGTAGTTTCTCGATGGCTTCTCTTGCATTACCAGGAATGAGTGGTTTTGTTGCAGAATTTTTAGTCTTTTTTGGAAGAATTACCAGCCCAAAATATCTTTTCATGCCAAAAATGTTAATTACTTTTGTAATGGCAATTGGAATGATATTAACTCCTATTTCTTTATTATCTATGTTCCGTCATATTTTCTAAATGAAATAGAAAAATACTTGGTCAAACCACCTTACGTTTGAACACAAGTAACAGCTCCTGCATATATATCTTTAATGACTTGAATTAATATAAGCATTATTAACCCCTTACGTCGAACTCTCCATAGCACTTCTCTTGGAACTTTAACATATAAATAGAAAAAGATCATATGTAGATCCTCCATATCCTCTCTGTAATTCTCCATCAAACCTCTCAATAAATATATAGCTTCCATAGTATACCTACCTGGCATGAATTCAAATTGATTTTGAGAAACATAAGATTAAGGCTAAATGATGCAAAAAATTATGTGAAGTTACATAAATCTACTACCTTTTTAAATCCCATTTTCCTCTCATTTTAGACTAAAACCTAGATTTAGGAAATCGTCAAGAAAGTGCGATTTAAAAGATATCCTCTATTTGTACCTATTCTTCTCCTGAATTTAAATTTCACTTATTGAAAAACAAATCTACCAATAATTAATTAAAATTTAATCAAAATTAAATTCTATCATGCCAAACAATTTTCAAGATTTAATGCCTCATTAATTTACTAAATATGGATTCAGTACACTTACTAAATCCTACTCGTATCCAACATCCCCTTAATGTTGTTAATAAGTATTTTACAGAACCTGTTGTTAATAATGTACATATATCATAGAGCCTTCAAAAGGAAATTAGTAGATAAAAGTTTAAAAAATGGGTTATAAATATAATAAGTTAATGATCTTAAATATGCGATGTAAGTTAATGATCTTAAATATGTGACGGAAAATTACCATATGTATTTTCCAATGGTGAAGTAGTAAAATACTTACTCATTTCTCTCTGATGAGAAAGCTTCTTTCCTGACGCATGCCCAATCCTTGGCTTCGCTGCTGCTCGCTTTAAAAGATTCAATAACTTGCAGAGCAGCTTCTTTCAACAAATTTTGCAGTTCTGGGAACCTCCATATAAGATAACTTCGCTCCACATATATGCTTATAAGGTGCTCCAATGTGGGGCTTCCAGCTTTTGCAGAACCAAAAAATGAATTCTTTAGTATCTGGGTCCATAATGATTCTTTTAAAGGTGCCTTAACAACTAACTTCTGCAAAACCAAAGGGTGAAGCATCAATGCTTGCTTCATAAGGTCAGTTGATGAGGCCTTCTCAGTCTGCTCAGTAGAGTTACTGGATGATGATAAATCATGCTCAATAAAAAAGCGAGCAAATGCAAGAGAATATGAGAAATTAGGGAACATCCATAATGAGTTATCACTTCTATACTCATCAACGAATTCTTCTAACCATCTATACTCTTCTGCTCTCAAAGAGAAATAATCGATACAAAGTAAAGCTCCCTTAGGGTCATCACAATCTAAAGACAACAGAAGTTTGCAGACTTCTAATGCCGATCGATGACAGCCACGTCTGTCTAAATTTTTCATATGACAGAAAAGTGCAGTGAAGAATGGCTTATTTGTATCATGAATGTATTTTAGTTGACAGTTTCCCTGCATCGGAGTAAATAATGGATGCCATGCACACTCAAGTGCAAATAAACACTTAGCAAGTACATCAGCTGATGACTGATGTTCTCCTGAAAACTTGAAAACCTCTGCAAATGTCAGCAAAGATTCAATGTGATAAGGATAATGAGCTAAGATGCTTGCAATGGCGTTGAGATCATTAGCAGATTTAGCAGCTTCAAAAGCTTCTTGTGCATGACTATAAGCCGCAGAATGTAAATACCTGTAATATGGATCATAGATAAAATGCTATGTAAGAACCATGCTTATTGAAGGACATATGACAAAGAAGAGGAAGATATCTTGCAATTTAAATGCCGGTGAACGGTGAGGAGAAGCAGGAATTTCAAATAATGCGACAAAAAGTACAATGTCATACCATTTTCCACAAGGAAAATTGATTCTCTCTTCATCACATTCAAACAACTCAATTAAACAGGAAGTCATCATCATTTGTTTTATGATTCACCTATTTATTTGTACCTCCTGTTGTATGTGCAGATTTAATGTATCTATTGATCATCCTCATCCCGTCGTTATCATCATCATCATTAGCAACATTCCAACCATTTCAAGTTGACTTATGAATCCATAATCTTGATTAGTTCTTGTTGAGTATTGTAAGAGAGTTAAATATATCCCTTAGAAATTATTTCGCATAAATTCTATCCCTATCAATTTTGACATATGTCTGCTCATTTCTAATACTTTTAACATTTATTTTATCTATGATACATTTTCTACGCTTTATTACATATGTTAAAATCATTTTTCAAGTATATTTTCTACCCACATCATAATATTATTATTTCTCAACCAATCCTCGTTTCTTCTGCTAGAATTGCTATATCAAAAAACATGCCACAATCCATGTGAATTGAAGGAATGGTAAAAAATAACAAACAAATGAAATGAGGAAGAATTTAGCTTTCAAGCTCAAAGATATTTATTTCGTTATTTAGTTTGCTTTGAAGTTATTTATGACTTATTTTGATTGAATTAAGATAATTTTTCTATGCTAAGGAAAGTACCCTACGAAGAACATGCTGAGCTTCTCAAGGTGATTGTTGGCCTCGTTTTTGTCCTGATTCGCCATCGACTGTGTTTTATTGTGTTGATCGGGCCTCGTTGAGCCCTATTCGATTCGAATCGACATTAATTTGAGTTTGATTGATTTTATCTTATTTTACTGAATTAATTTTGGTCGAGTCGAGGCGAGCTCGAGTTGACCCGGATTGAACCAAACTTGACTCAATTTGAACATGATTTCAATCTCTTAGGTGTAGTTAAATCCTAGTCTAGGTTTGGAATGGCTTTCTAAAACAATTTGAATCACACCGTTAAAAAATTTTTGATCCGACGGCCCCGATCTCCCCTCTCTCCCTTGGTGCCCTAATTGAGGCCGAAGCCTCCATCTCACTCACTCTCTGGGTCTTGGCAAAAAAAGAGCCAAAAGCCTCCCTCTCCGTCTCTCTACGCACGAACGAGCTAGGGGCGGAACCCCCTCCTTCTTCCACTCTCGGCTTCGCAGATCCCATCCGACGCCAAAGCCTACGGCCTCTCCCTGTGCTCGGGTGACCTAGCTCAGGTCGGAAGACCCCCGACCTACCTTTTTCTCGCTGCTTCGCGAATCCCAGACGAACCCGAGCGAAGCCCCTCTCCACCGGCTCCTCCCTCGGCCGGCCCAACCTCGACGACTCTCACCCTAGACGAGCTCGATGTCGTGTTGGCGACCTGCCCTAACCGATCTGAATGGATCCTTTTTCCTCCGAGCAGCTTCTTATGGCAAGTGAATGGGGAAATTCGTTGGCAATGTTTGGATAGAAGGTATGCTCTTCCGATCATCCTTGCTAGAAGAATTAAATCATGACTCTGTGATCATTTTTGCTGAAATGGTGGAGTTCTGGGTAGAGATGGGATTCCCCTCTTCATGCATATGTTTTGTGTTTAAGTTATTTTTGCTGAAATTCTAGTCTATGGCTTAAACGTTTTATTAGAGTGAAACTTGCTCTTGTTTGTGTATGAAGCATATCCTGATTTGCACTCCAAATGTGTTCTTCTTGGAGTCTGCTCTTCGTGTTGTTTCTTTCTTATGTGGAGATATCATTTGTGGTGAACAAAATTTCCTCATTAAACTTTTCCCAAGAGATAGATATACGATTTAGAGTGAAAAGATTTTTTTTATGATAAGTGCTTTTAAAAAAAAAGTATTGATTTTGTTAGATGAGCATATGTTCTAAGCCTATTCCTCTTTGCAAATAATTAATGAATATCTTCCTTCATAAGGAGATTTGGTAGTTGGAGCTACATGTTTCTTTCCCTAAAAGAAAGGTTATTTGCAATACTCTATGTTTTGGCTCAAGAGTATGTTTATAAGTCTAAGTTAGAGTCTTCTTTTAAACTTGTGAGGGTATATAATGTGGAATTTGGAAAACTCGTCGGAAAATGATCATGTGGCATATTGTTGGAAACATGTTTAGCTAAAAAGGCTACGAGTGATGAAATATCGCTATATTTTCTCCTCTACTTGGTTGAGCTTTGTATGAAAAATGTCATCACCCTGCCTCTTTTATTATGAAGCATGATCTCTTATTGCTTAAGAGTTAGGATGTTTGAAGTTATTAAAATCTTGCGTAATATTTTGATATTTGGATTTCAAATACATCATTTGTTACTATTTGAGATGTGTGGAGCTTTGTAGTATTTTTGTTCCCTTACAAGATTTCATGGGTATGCCTCTTTGAGGCCTATTGGAAAGAATGTAAGAGCCCTATGTCTAGATCTCAATAATAATTCTGCAATAGTTTGCTTAGTGCATGTGATGGGTTGAAAAGCTTAGTGCCTAAAGTGGCACCATGAGTTTATGGGTTAATGGGGAATTTGCATCTCTAGAGTTATCTTTCTTCAATACTATGCTCCTAAACACTGAAAAAAATGGATGGGTATCTCCATCGTGTAGAGTTGTTGGAAAGTTAATTTATATGTATTTGAATGGTGACATTATTGTGGTGAATATCGCGTTGGTGGTTCTTATTGCCTTATGCTTCATACAGAGATGAGTATGAATTTAGTGCATTGGGGTTTTGAGAAATTGTTAGGAGATTTCACTTATTCCACAATCTTATGATGAAGTAATATATGCATACCTTGCTCGAAACGAGGCATGTTTTGATTATGGAGAAGTTATGTTTTGTGTTGAAGGCCTCTTGATTCCTTTACAGGAGATTAAATTGGCATTGAGTCTCCCCTTTACGGTTTTTATCTCTTTGGTGAGCTGTGAAGTTTCAAATTTCTATTAGATGAGTTTGTAGGTTGGAGTGAAGAATAGGGCATCTTTTCTCAAGTACATAAGATTTCATTTTGATGGCTGCATGGAGAATGGAGAGGTTGATCTAGTTTCTTTCAAGAGCATCCTTTTCTTTATTTCTTCTATTATCTGATGATCATGGATCTTAGAGGTAATAACTTTGGATTGCCTTATATTATGTGTTGGTGTTGGAAAGAAAAATGCTCTAAATTTTATCTTGGCATGAATGAAAAGGAATAGTTGCTTGAAGTGCTTCTTGTTAATTTCGGAGGAATGAGATGAGTTGGAAAGTGGGCTTGTTCGGAATGATTATTGGAAAGGTATTTTAAAGTAAAAATGCACAGATTCCTTCCCCTCTTTACCCCTTTCTTTATTATTGTTATTATTGTTATTATTATTATTATTATTTTCCTCTTTCTATTACTTTTATAACTTCAGAAAGCCTTTTTTTTTTTTGTGGACATTTCTTCAACTATTTGAGTATTTCGAATTTGTGGGAGAAATTGTTTATGTTGCAGGTTATCTGTTAGCATCATACCATTGTTTTATGAGAATTACTTAGAGGCATGCGTAACACCACTCGAGGAATGAGATAACAATCATATAAATGACTTCATCCATCTTATATTTCAACTACAATGTTGCGTGCCTTTTGTTATGTAATTTTCCTTAAGCTTTAAGAAAATTTGTGGCTGGTTTCATTTCAAAAGACCTTTTGAGTTGTTTTATATGATGGTTAGAAAAGAAGGTTACATCATTCCTTTTATATGTTGTATAAAGTGCTTTCTTACGAGATTTTGGTAGAACGTAATGGGTTGGAAAGTTTTAATGAGTTAACCCCACTCTAAATGAAAAGAAAAGCACTTGATTTGTCTTATTTTTGCGTCGAAAGAGTTTTGGGTAAATTGATTACATAGAGTTTTTATGTGTCGCTTTGTGGGGTTTTATGTAGTCCTTCATTCAAAAGTTTTTCATAAGTTACTTTGAGATTTATAATTTTTGTGAAGTGGATTCGTGTTGAAAAGTTCTCTTTGCTGTCTTTTTGAAACAAATGATCTTTATTGTGTAACTTGTCTCTCCTTTATTAATGTTTGCTTCTAAAATGTAAGGTTGAAAGAATGTGATAGATAGAAAGAGATGTTTTAGTTCTAGTTTTAAGAACTTGAGTTTCCTTTGTTGCTTTGAGTTTGGTAAGGAATAGTTTGCGTAATCGAGTCGGGTCTGCATCAAGTGCTTTGTTTGAATCGTGGGAACAGTAAAATGGCATTTAACACCTTCTCTCCTACTCATATCATATTGAATAGGAGTGAAGGGTGTCTTAGAGACTTGCTCGACTTCGAAGAAACATGTTCAATAACAAAATGCCAACATTCTATTTATTATTTTAATTTCCATTCGTTCTTTCTAGCATTTTGTCGTATTTCTTTCTTTTCTTTTTCTAGCTTTTGCATTTATACTAATTTTCTACTCATTGGCTTATTTCATTTATGGATTCCTAAATCTTTGGATACATGTACAAATGTCTAAAAGGTTAGAAAAAACATTTCCTTTTATCCCCTATAACACTAGTGACATCTAAGGACAAAAATTGAGGATCGAGTCTTAGATAACATAGACTTAGAATGCATGTTCCCTATAGGGTAGAGACATCAAAATATATAAAACTTAGTAACATATTTTTCTAGGTTTTTGTTGCCTAAATCTACTAATAATTCACCAATAAAATCAACTTTAATTTAACTCTTAAAAATGCTCTAAAGCATCTAATTTGTATTCAAACCATAACTAATATTCCATAACCACTAATATGTAAATTCAAACCAAATCTAATCAATCTCTTAATCAACTCCTAACAAACCTAAAATTTAAAAGATATAGATTAAATTAGGAGGACAAACATAAACTAAAATTCATTG